GATCCTCTGTCTCGGCTCAACGAGCTGCTCATTCATTCCTACTATGGCATTCACTCACTACCCTAGGTGTGTGCTCGCTCCGGCTTCTCTCGCCTTCCTGACTGTGGTAAGGCGAAGAGTTGGCAGGTCACACTATATTTCTCTACTAGTTTCCTGCCCAACAGTTGCCTTTCCAATAACTGTCACTCTTACTACCGTTCTACCTATGACATTGTTGCTGCCCTAATCGTTCAGCTCACACCTGCGCCACACCACTAGCGTACCAACCCTCTGTGTGCCAGCCGACTGTGCTCCACATAGATTAACCTGCAGTCTTCCCTGCTCTCTGCTGGTCTCCACCCTTCGCTCTGTGCATTCGTTTCCCCATTGTTGCAACTATTTCCCATGTCCCAGCTTGGCAGTACCCACCCACATTTCTTGCCCCTCCCTGATATCTTGTCTCCTCTGCTCCTCCCCCTGGCCTCCCCTTATTCCACTGAAGTCTAATCTCGTGTCAACTGCATGTGTGTGCACAAGCTTCGTCTCTCACTGAGTGGTCCATCGTTTTGTGCCTCGTCCCACACGAGTGTTTTCCCATTGTGTGTGCGTTCACAACCAACTTCCTCTTTGCACCCGACCTTACCCCTCACCCCACCCAGGTGTTGTCTACTTTCGACAGTCTGCAGTGAAGGAGGTGGTTGATTGCCAGGATCGGTGATTGAAGCAGGGCTGTTGAAGGAGAGTCCACTGGATGCTATGGCTGCCGAGAGGGCGATGGGGCCACTGATTGAAGTGGTCAAAGAGGCGGCACTGGCAGCAGTGAGGGAGGAGCTGACTGGGCACAACGAGGAGTTGGATGAGTTGCGGCATATGTTGAAAGCAGTGAAGGGGGAGTTGGCAGCGGTTAAGGGGGAGTTGAAAGCGGTTAAGGGGCAGTTGGCGGAACTCATGGACTCAAGAGTAGAGCAACCGGCTGAGTTCAGCAGGGCATCGGATGAAATAGAGCTAAGAGGGAAGAGTAGAAAGAGAAGGAAAGAAGAGACAGCGGAGGAGAGGAGGAGGGAGGTGCAGGAGGTGAATTGGCCACATGCCACGGAGGAATCGGCAGCCTGTAATGAAGGGCAGAGGATACAAGATTTGAAGTTGAATGTTGAGCTGGAAATTAGGCAGAGTGAAGATGATCGGAAGAAAGCATTGGAGGTGAGTGCTGAGTGCGTTGTTGCATAGGCATGCCTTGTTCCACTTGGCATTCACTGCTTGCTAGTTCTGTCTTATCGCCATATATTCACCCCTTGTTCTGTCAAATTTTCCCTCTCAACCCATTTCTTCCAGGCAATAAAGACAGCATCAAAATATTTCAGTATAGACCTGAGGCATTGCCACCGCCTCTCAGATGACATCCTCGGGCATGTGTCCACAATGGCACATCTGAGGGGAGTTGTATTGCAGCATAGCTCAGGTTTCAGTGCAGAGGGCATCAAGCACCTCTACAGGCTGCCACAGCTGGAGATGCTAGACCTCTTTTGCGCAAAATATATAACAGACAATGCCTTGGAAGGCATTTGGTGCTTGACCAGTCTCAAGTACCTGTATCTCAATAATGCCAAGCTGACCAATGCTGGCCTGGCACACTTGACAGCTCTGTCCTCTCTGAATGCGCTGGTCCGTATCAAGTGCACAAGTGTGACAGATGCCGGCATGGTGCATGTGGGGAAGCTGACAGGGCTTGAGGATCTTTCTCTAGATGGCACAGCAGTCACGGATGCTGGGCTGCGGCACCTGTCTGCCCTGACCAACCTGACAAATCTCTCGCTGCCAGGAGGGGATTTTTATTTGGATGGTGACGTACGCTGGCGGATAAACAGAAAGTGGTAGTGAGTGATGATGGAAAGCGAGGTGAGGTGAGGGAAGAGTTGGCGGTGACTGCCTAGAGGGGGACTGACGAGAGGCATGGAGTCAAGGCATGTGAAGAATGTGGAGGGATGAGGCAGAGTGGTGATGCTGTACTTGCATATTGTTTGAACTTGGAAAGTAACCTTCTGGCCATGTACCTTGCAGTTGGACAGTTGAATGTGTAGGGCAAGATACCAGGTGGAGGAGGGAAAGCTGCAAGGTATGCCTGCTTGTTTTACAGTGCAGCAGGCTGTGCAATGTCTTTGTACGGTACTCGTAGCAACAGCTCGATATGCAATGCATTCCTTCCTGCCAAAGCATGAGCCAATTTTAAGATATGCATGTGTAACCACGAGTCATTGATGCTGCTCCAATATGATCCATGAATATCATCTCAAGACAATAGAATATACACACTCGTTCTTTTGACAAATCTGCACAATCACGATACATGGATCCAAGGTGGTGAGTGGCAGCTGGTCATTTGGGGGGGTCTGTCTGTTGGCTGGGTGTGTGACATGGCACAAATGGCAGAGGTGAAGCAGGAAAATGTGCGCCTGTGTCTGCATGGGAAGGGGAACCTGTGATGCATGCTTCTGCGCACTTGAGCCTCAATTTGATCGCCATACTCCCTTCTCGAAGTCACGCTTTTCCCTCAATGCTTGTGCCACCACTGCCTTCAGCAGCCTTTTGTGAATTACAGCAAGTGGCAGCAGAGTGAAAGAAGCAACAAAGACTTCCATCCCCTCCAACTGGAAGGGATTTGAGTGGGATCCAGGCAATTAAGACTTCCATTACATCTCACCGTTTTCTTGTACTGTGCTGCACCATGTCACCGCAGAGATAAACACAATTTCTGCACCAGCTAAGATGAAAGTAACGTATGGGAAGAGGTATGGAAGTTAGGTGTGCGTTGAGGTATGGGATGTGGAGCACGGCACAGCTGCCCCTGTACTACCTTTTCCCATGAGAACACACTGTTGGGCCGATACGATAAATTGTATCGCCGGTGCTACAAACATTACATCCACTTAGTTGCTTTGCTATCATTGTAATGGGGTGAGAAGGGCGAGGCATTATGCACGTGCAACAAGGAATAGCTGAGGGGAGTTAGGGGGCGAGAATGGGGAGGGACGGTGTGCCAGGAGGGCGAGAATGGGGAGGGACGGTGTGCCAGGAGGGCGAGAATGGGGAGGGACGGGCGCATGGTGTTGGTGAAAAGGGCGTTGGTGAGACAGCTGGTAGCTGAGGCGGGTGCACGGATGAATGTCGCATGCAAGGATCCGTGGGATGGGTGTGCTGACAGGGGAGGCAGTGACCAGGTAGGCACAGAGGGGTGGGAACGGTGGGCAAGGCAAGGAAGACGGAGCCACTCACCAGGCGCTCATATCTTACCACCATTGCCGTCTCTAACACACCACTCCCAGCATCTGCCCCATCCTCTGTCCTCTTCCCCCTGCTCACCCTCCCCTTCCCCAACACCCATCCTCCCTCCCTCCCCCCGTCCCCCCCTCCCCCCTTCCCCCCCACCCTTTTTTTCTGACGCCCCACCCTTTGCCATGCCATCGACTGCTGCCTCGTCTACAGCTGTCTCCACTGTCTGTCGCCCCGCCTTCTCTCCCGCTTGCAGCAGCAGCCGAAGCGCCGAGAGTAAGACAGCGGCCGTTGTCAGATTGGCTGCAGATGGATGGCGGGAGAATTTAGAAGAACGGGGATTGGCGGGTGAAAGAGGGGTGGGGGACGGGTGCCGGCAGAGGAGAAAGGGAAGCCGTAGGGAGTAGACAAATGAAAGCGTGCAGGGCAAGAAAGTAGAGATTTACAACCGGGGAAGGGTGGAAGGGGGAAACTAGGCCAAGAGTGGGAGGGGTATGTTGTGATGAACAAAACAAAAGGAAAAGGGTCACGGGGCAAGCACCTAATCCTCTGTCATGACATGAACCACCCTTGCCATGAACAAATGAAAGAGCCAAACCACTTCTCCCACAAACCCACTGAAAAGAATTGCTTTGCAAATCCCCAGGAACCACCTGTTCGAGCAACCTGCCTCTGCCAGGTACCCGCCCCACCCACCTCCGCCATGACCAGTTCCACCGGATTCTCTCAACAAGTGAGGCAGCCGGTCATTGGAGTACGAACAGCCCACAGGTACATTCACTTGCTGACACGACTCCCACTCACTCACACAGTCCCACGACCCCATCAACCACCGGCACGTTGATCTGTCAGGACATATTCATTCCTTGCTGCACATCCATCAGTGTGAGGTCCTGCGCGGCGTCGATACCACCACTCCTGGTGAGGGTGAGCAATGAACAGGAGCGACAGAAGAGTGGAAAATGAAGCGCCACGAGCAAATGAAGCGAATGCAGCAGTGGGAGGGAGTCAGCGGGCATAGCGCTAGGCGGGTGAGCGGGCAGGCAGTAGGGATGTGCAGCTGGGGTTGTGCACCCACCACACTCCAGTGCCTTCGTGCTCCCAGCACTGCTGGTGGCGTCCATGGCCATCATCACCACCACCACATCCATTGCCCCACCGTTTTCATCCGCCCGTGCTGCTGGTGGAAGTGACCGCATGGGAGCATGGGCATCGCCAGCAGAGCTGAGAGCATGGGCAGGCAGTGTGGCCTTAAAAGCCGAGCCGCCCCTCCCCTGCTGCCCCTCCCCTGTTGTACCCCCCTGCTGCCATGCCATGCAGTATGGCCACCACCACTCATGCATCCACCCACTCCCACGGTCATGCCCTCCCTACCTTCCATTGTGCTAGCCTCACTCCATCCCACCCATCCATCCCATCTCCTCCTCTACTCGCTGCACCAATCCCATCCCATCCCAACCAATCCCATTCCATCCCATCTCCTTCCCTTCCCTCCCATGCCGATCCAACCCATCCCATCTTATGTCCTCCCTTCCCCTCCCCTCCCGTCTCATCCCCTCCCATCCCAACCCATTCCCTCCCATCGCAACCCATCCGAACCCATCCCATCCCATCTGCCACACACCTGACAGCCTGACCGCTGGCTCAAGGTGAGCTGCACGTCACCATGCCGGGCGTCATGTCCACCACGAGCACGTCCATCCCCCCCACTCCGTCCCCCTTACAAGCTTCTCCACTGCCGCCATCACATCACCATGGGCCAACGCCATACGGTCGCCACGTGTGCAGGCATGAGGAAGCCCACACTCCCAGCCCACGTGAGCGGACATGCAGAGCATGCCGTGCGCCTGCATGCGTGGGGGAAGGGCGAGGCGAGCAGGGGGCAGCCGGCAGTCTCCAGGCCCAGCGGGCAAGAAGGGGGAGGAGGCGACAATGTGCAGGCCGAGCAGGTTGGGCAGTGAGGGGCGAACACGTCAGCGTCCAGCAGCCCCATTTGCGAGTGCCACTGCCAGGTTCACTGTGGGGGGAAGAGGGAGAGGTGGGGGAGGGGGAGGGGACGATGGGATTGGGGGGAGGAGGGGAGGAGGGGAGGAGGGAATGTGGTATGGTGAAATGAGGGGGATGCGGGGATGGGGGGATAAGGGAAGATGGGCATGCGATTAGAGGCATGCATTGAGAGGTGCGGGGTGAGGGGCACGGTGGAAGAGGCTTACAGGGGGAGGCACGCGGTCAGGTGCATGGGGCGAGAGGGATTTTAGGAAAGGAACGGGGTGATAGAATGGGGTGAATGGTATGTGTGGAAGAAGGCAGGCGTGAGTGCAGCGTGTATGGGAGCCTGTCGACATGCAGTGAAGGAAAGGGAGATGGGGAGGCTGACGGGAAGGGGGGGTGGGCAGGGGGATGGGTTAGAGAGGAAGGGAAGGTGGGTGGGGAGGGGGAACAGGAGGGGGGTGGGGAGGGGGATAGGCAGGTAACGAAGGCGGATGGGAAGGGCAGTGGAGAGGAGGGGGAGGAGAGGGTGGGATATGATGAGCGGAGAGGAAGCGGCGAGGGGCATGGCGGTGAGGCGGTGAGGCGGTGATTCAGTGAGGTGCAGCAGCAGTGGTGGACTTGCCGACGCCGCCTTTCGCGAACGCCACAGCCACGATGTGCTTCACCCCTGCCAGCAATAAACTGTCGTCGCCATCGCCTCTGCTGCCACTGCAGCTTCTATCGTTGCTGCTGGTGGTAAAACCGATGCTGCTGCCATGTGGAGTCCACATACTCCCACCAGCTGCGTAGCGTGCTGCTGCAAGTCATACCGCTGGAGGCACCTATGCTGCCTATACGCACAGCACTGTTGCTGTCTAGCGTGCTCCTGCGGGTAGTACTGCGACAAAAGGCAGGGAAGGGAAGCTGGTCCAGCTTGGGACCGGCATGTAACGCGGGAAGGTGACGATCAGCCAAGCGTGTAACGCCACCCAGCCATGCAGCACCCAGTGTGAAGATTGCTGATGAGCAAAGGGCGAACACGAACATGTTCGTGTTCGCCCCTTCTCGAACACCCTCTTTTGCCGAACCGAACACTGTTCGGTTCGGCGAACAGTTTAGGCAAAAACAGGTGTTCGCTGTTCGCCTGTGGAGGCGTGTTCGGGCGAACCTCGAACACGTTCGTGTTCGCCACGGGGCGTTCTGCAGCAGCGCCACGAACACGAACGTGTTCGGGCGAACATCGAACACGTTCGGGCGAACGATTTAAGCTGAAAAACAAAACCTGTTCGGTTTGCCTCGAACACGTTCGAGGCGAACCGAACAGGTGTTCGCCACCTTGCTCATCCCTACTTGGGGAAGTGAGGCAACCATAGGCCCACTTGGGTTGAGTTGACCTCACTTGTGGGAAGTGAGGCACCCATAAGCCAAGTGGGTTGCATTTGGGGGCTCCACCACAATTGGGTGGATTGGCACCCCACAATGCAAGATTACACCCAATGTTGGGTGTAGTCCCAACCCAACTGTACACCACAATTGGTGTACAGTCACATGTGTTGCATGCTACAATATATATATTTCTAACACCCAGCCATGCAGCACCTTTCCATGCAGCACCCAGCCATGCAGCACCCAGCCATGGGCAACGAGCCGAGCCGAGTTTTACTGGGCTCGTCCCCAGGCACACTCGTACGAGCTTTGTTCCGAGCCAAGTTTTGCTCGTACGAGCTTTTTCCGGGAAAATGCAAGCTCGTGACTCGGCTAAATAGCACGAGCTTTTCAAAAGCTCGTCCGAGCTTCAAGAAAAGCTCGGTCGAGCCGAGGGAAGCTCGGCTCGTTGCCATATACATGCACGAGCTTTTCAAGCTCGTCAGCGCAACGAGTGCTCGGCGAGTTTTTAAAACTCGCCGAGTTAAACTCGGCTCGGGTCGGTCTAGTTATTTTTAGGGAAAAGCACACTCGTCACTCGCCCTCGAACGAGTGCCTCGTACGAGCCGAGGCGAAAAACTCGCCTCGGTGCCCATACGTCACCTCAACAGGACACCGATTGTGCTCTCAGCAGGACGCACCTGATCGGGCAGAATGGTCAACGGCAAAGACGACGAAATGGCCGCCCGGAAAGGTACATGGTAAATGGATATTATTATTGCTCGCAACAAGTACAGAATGAGGAGAAGGAGCAAAATCCGGTGAGGAGCAGGGAGGGAACAAGCATGGGAAAAGGAGCAGGGAGGGAACAAGCATGGGGAAAGGAGCAGAAAGGGAACAAGGAGCAGGAATTGAGCTATCCTTTCAGCAGCGTTGATGACTTTTGAGAGTTGTCAAAAGCGGCAATGATGATGACGTGCCGTTGCTCGTCATATTGACTCGCCATCGCCAGCTGCTCGTGCAGCTTCGACGCCCGCGATGCTTGCGACGCCGCCTCTCGCAACCTACTACGATTTCGGCACTCGCAAAGCAGCTGGCGACGCACGTGACACTCGCTCGACTCGCCGTCGCGAATAGAGAACATAAGGGATGACCGCCAACAATGTTAGTTTCTATTAAGACTAACCTACGAGCAGGTGGAAGAATCATGGCCAGGAAAGTAAGAAATTGGCAGGAAGCTGCGGAGGGAGGGCGGCAGAATAGAGCCGCCGTTTCTTTCTCTGATGCCTCCTGCTGTCAATTGCGCATTCGTGCCTTTTGCGGCGGTGCCGTCGCGCAGGAGCGATTGTGAAAGGGCGAGGAAGGGAGGGAGGAGGTGCGAAAGTGATGTCCCCTTCCTAATTCGAATGTTCTACCACGTTCTGACATCCTGTAGCTAGTACGGATTGAATTATGAGCATCACATGCAAGTGCCATCTTGCCGATTTTCAACTTGAAATTCGCACGATGGAACTCTATCAACTCTACCATATCGTTTTTGAGCACTTCACAATTTAAGGTCGCAATAAGGCAGGTCGCGGGCTGAGCAGTAGTTCGCTATGTCGCCAGGTCGCCAGGTCGCCAAATCGCTGGTCGATAGTGCCAATATTCCTTTTTTCAATCAAGTTACTTGCTCTTCGTATGCTGGGAGATTTTCTTATTGCTGTAGGGCCCATTAGGGTTTCGATTCGTTTTTGTTTCTGCGAGAGTGAATGAAGAGGTCGGTGTTCGTCAAACAGGGTCAGCTGCTGTCCTGATTCGTCTAACTCGCAGACCTGGCGGGATTTTTGGTAGCTGGACACGCCCTGCTGGAATGCCACGCCACCATCGAAACTCGTGTCACCCTGGAAATCGCGAGAGAAGGGGTAACTTGAAAAACCATTCGCATCCGTCGGGATCCACAAACCACGGCTGAATGGGAGGTTGCAACTCGCTAATTCCACGTCGTCATCCCTGGTTGGGATATGGCAGCCACGCAAGAGATCTACTGTAGATCATCTACAAATAAATGATGGCTAGGAGGAACTGGGCCATCATCATCTCCCTCTACTGCCACCATCACCTCCCTGCTGCTGTCTTCTCCAGTTTATTTCCTAGCTTACTAGAGCTTCCTCTCAGACTCCTATACATTGACGTCGTCTGCACTCCTGGTAACACTACTTTCTTGGTTTATCCGTCTAGAGATATTAGGCTGTAGAATTAGGCTCGGCTCTGTGACGCACACAGCTTCACAAACGATAAAAATCAACCTACCGTTTCCTGGAATCGCTGCACCTCCATGGCAACTTCGGACGGCGCGGGGCGCCTCATTCGGCTCAGCTTACTCATCTTTCTGACGTGTCTCGCCGTGGTTTCTCCAGTCCGCTGTGTCCCGTTCGCCGCCTCCCAAGGTTCGGAACCTTTTGTTTCCCCCCGTACTATGTACTTATAGTAGGTTCTGCTATATTGTAGATATCGAGCTATATAGAGTAAATTGAATGTAGCAGAACCTAGACGTACATAGTATGGGGGGCAACAATTTTGGGATCCTTGTAAAACAAACTTAGCGTTCACTGAACGGAAATCGAAGGTCTGAAACGCCACCGGTAGGGGTCCATTTCAGGTCCTGTATGGGTCCGGGCAGGACCCAACAAAAAGGTGCTAACCAGATTCCAATACGTGCTCCTCGCAGATACTTCTGGAGCTACATTGCGGAGTCCGAAATGGGTCCGGAAAGACCCATTTCAGACCTGTGTTCGGAGGCCGCCGGGCTTTAAGTTTGTAACACAAACACCCGGAATAACAGTGTTACCAGATAGAGTTACAAACAACACTATAGAAACTCCTTAACACTTACCGACGCGGTCGGCGACTCGCGGCCACTTGCGCTCGCGCTGCTTTGCGTGCTCAGCATCTGGCGACATGTAGGTCCGTGGTCCGTCAGGGCCGCTGGCAGGTGAGCCAGTCTGTGCAGGCGCCACATTGGATGTGGTTGCTCGGTGCGCCGGAAATTGTTGTGGTGTTGACGGCCTGGCAGACGTGCGTGACCCTGTGAAAGGGGGACTCTGCGGAATGGAGTGCGCAGCCGTCCCAGTAACTGGCATGTAACCAACGTTTCGCTCGTTGGATTCTCGCATCGCCTTCATAGCGCGCTGGGTGTTAGCGAGGACGTCCATCATCATCTTCATCATGTGGGCATTATCACCGCCCTCAGCATGAGTGGCTGCCATGTTGACTGGGGTGTGGGGACTTGACTCTCCACCAACCTTGCTGGTTTTGGGGGGAGGGAGATCAGGTTTAAGTGTGCCCGCACCCTGGCCTGGAAAGTCTTCGGTCGGCGATGGAAAGTCGGCTCCGACCACTGCGTCGCTTGGTGCATTGGGATGCGCGTCGAGTCCTTGTCCAGCGTGCTGAGCTGCCACTCCAACGCTCACAGTCCCGGGCCTCCCGCGAACCTGCGCGTATGGGGCATCAGTGTGAGCACTCGCTTTACCATGTCCACCAATAGCCGCAACAGCAGCCTCTCCCCCCCCCTGCTCCTCGTCAGCTTGGTCCCACGGGTCTTGCTGTACGAGCAGGTGTGGCTTACTTCCACCCGAGCCTCCAGTACCGCCCATTTTCAGATTATCGTAGCCCTGCATCTGCATCACCGCCTTGCCGTTTGATCCTGCGTCGATACTGTTCGTGGCACCACGAGCGGACGACTTCACATGCGGAGCGACAGCAGCAGAGCGGCCGCCAGGCGCAAGCGCCTGAGCCGGTGCACCACGGGAGTGTGTAGCCGAGGCGATGGGATGCGCCACCTGTTCGTCGTCGTCGTAACCGTCCATGTCTTCTTCACACGACGTGCTCTCGCTCGCCTCGTTTGGATTGAACTCGGAGACAGAGTGGAACAAGTAGCCACAACCGCTTTTTGGTGGTCGAGTGCAAAAATAGCTTACGCGTCTCTTCGGGAGCTGGCACTGCGCCAAGTGATGACAAAGGCTTTTGTGAGCGCAGGGGCCTTTCCTTTTTCACGGCGAAGAGCCGTCTCCAAGCTTATCCCGTATGGCGCGTCAGTCGGTTCTCGATCCACGCCGCCAGGGTGGCGAAGCGACAGGAGTATTGGTCGGTGCGACTGACCAGTGGGGTTCTTCTCTCTGTACAACCCTACTTTTTCCCTAGCCACGCGGAATGCCTTTGTCAATACTTTCTTAGCAGATGAAAGCGCTCGGTCGTGTGGCAAAAGGATGTGATCGGCGTATCTGCTAGGTAAAGAGGACTGGCGAGAGGGGCCCGCCCTCCCCTAGTCTTCCTGTATTTGTTGCCCCGATAAATCTCATGTCTTATGGATCCTTGGTGACGGTAGTATGATGCATTCCAGCAAGGGTTCCATGGAGGCTCACACACCACACCACACCACACCATGAAGCAGACGCATTCGGCTTGGTTGCCAACGCGCGTACGAGCAAAATGTCATTCACGATCATTGTAAGTTCAGCAGTGGCACCAACCGTGCCATGGCGGCGGATCATCAAAGTCAAGTGACGCCGTCGCATGTATCCATCAGATTGTATTCCAACGCCTAATGCTTACAAGCTTGTCCGACCAATTTCAAGTTTGAACTTGCACCTGTCTGCTCTACTGATGTCTGGTGGCGTTGAAAGAGGGAGGGAAAGCCACACGAAGTTGATGAGCTGATAAATTCATCTCTTCTTTTTCCTGCTCCATTGCAGCCCCTCTCCTACCTGCTAGCGGAATAAGTGCGCTGGCTGGAATCCCAGCAAGCATAGGGGGAAAATTTGATGTCTGGGTGGCTTGCTGCCATGGATGGATGCAGCAATACCAAGGCGTTGTGGCTCATTTACGACCACGAGTACTAGTATTCGTAGTAAAATAACTCGGTGGAGTGCCTTAAAGAGCTTAGAAATGCTCATCCCCAACGATATATACTTCCTATTTGACCTCGTTTACTGTTTACACCTCTTATCTTATGTCGTTATCAACGGATAAGTCAGTGGCCACGGCATGCCCATGCTCCCATGCGCACAATGCTTAGTGCTGTGGCACTTTGGATCTGCGAGTCACAGTTTCTAGTTACTTCACCATCGCATGTGTCCATTCCGCACTTGTGGCACAGGCTGATGAGTGAGGGAGGAAGAGAAAGGTGCAACACGCAGGTGATGAGAGCCAATCTATCCCTCCTCTCTTCCTCCTCTGCCCTAGCTTCTATCCTTCTCTTGCCCTCCTGCCCCCCTCCCCCACCTTTTGCCGCCAGTGCGAGTCCTGCGGGACTTGCAGCAAGCGTTGGGGCAGAATTTCCCTGTTTTGGATTGGTGGGACTGCAGCGTTCTCTTCTATGCCGAACCCCAAGGCTATCTGGGCTGCAATGACCAAGGCATGGTGACTGACATGTGAGAGTACCAACTCTAGCTGGTCTTGCATCCCCCATGTGTGAACCAACTCTTGCTGGACTTGACTTGAATGCCTACATCTTCTCTCCCTCCACCATTCTGCGTGCTCTGCGTTTGCACTCCCTTGTTGCATTTTGGAGAGCTAACCCTTGCCGGCCATGCAATCTGCGTGTTTCTTTGTATTTCTCTTGCATTCCCTTTCTTCTTTAACCGCTCTTGCCATTGTTCCACCCTCTTCCAAATTGACTGTCTGCGTTGATGAGCCCATTAAGATGGTCTCTACTGTTCTTCAAGGCATGTTAGGATGGTAGCATGTTAACTCATCAGAATTAAGAATTAAGGATCATCGGGCAAGTGAGCATGTTCGATGTTGATTCTGGAACAATTTTCCACGCTGAATCAGTTCTACGTTGAAATCATTTTAAAGATGGGGTCCTACGAGTAGGGTTGAGCAAAAACACGAACACCTGTCGAGGCGAACCGAACATATATTTTTTTTTGGCTTAAAATGTTCGCCGAACAGTGTTCGATGTTTGCCTCGAACACGTTCGTGTTCGGGCCGCTGCTGCAATTTGCCCGCGACGAACACGAACGTGTTCGAGGTTCGCCCGAACACGCCTTCACAGGCGAACTGCGAACACCATTTTTTGCTCAAAGTGTTCGCCGAACCGAACAGTGTTCGGTTCGGCAAACAAAGGTGTTCGTGTAGGGGCGAACACGAACACGTTCGTGTTCGCCCCTTGCTCATCCCTACCTACGAGGAAGAGAGCAGGACAGGCACAGCTTCAGTAGTTCTACCATGCATAAGTCAGAGCACAAGTTGACATGTCAAGTGGTATGGCAACAGGTGCAGCTGCAGGTACTTGTGTTCGCTAATTGAGCCCTTGCGGATCATGTATTCGCTGGATGTTAAGGTTAAGGTTAAAAGTTATGTTAAGGTTAAAATTCATCTTCAAACAGGATTAAGGAACATCTTCCATGAATTATCGAAGGTAAATCAAGGGTTCTATAGAAGGGGAGAGGGAGCAGGACAGACACAGTTTTAGTAGTTCTATCATGCCCAAGTCAGAAAACTAGTTGGCATGCCAAGGGGAATGGCAACTGTTGTAAATTCAGCAGGTTTGTGCACAAATGGTTTTGTCAACAAAGAATTAGAGAAAATGGGTGAGTGGAAGGAGGGAGGTTGTGGTGGTGCATATGAGTGTGTTGGGGTCCTGCTAAAGGGGTTGCTACGTGCCATGGGACGAATTTCACATAGAAATGCGACAAAATGTCACCGCAGAACCAAAATGTCCCTTTGAAAACTCATTAACCAAAGGTAGACATTTGGAGGCAGTACTAGGTGTTAATGTTGTCTAACCTTCCTTATCACCCCCCTTCCCTTCTCCGTTTCCCTCCGTTTTCTCTTGCGTGGTTCATATTGAAATGAGTTCAGTGCAGCAGAACGCTGCTCAGACGCACCTCCCAGGTCTCTATCATCTCCATGCATGCAGGCGCAGGTGGACAACATGTGGGCTGCATGGGCCTCTCCTCGAATCAAATAGTACCGAAACCACCTTGATGGATTCACCAATCTCTCATTTTATTTCACTCTTGATCCCGTTTCATAACAAAATTATCATGTTCCCCACCCTTTTCATTCCACTGCCCACCAGTTTGATAGAGCGCCAACGATTAACCGGATCCATTCCAGATTCCATCAGTGCCTTGGACAAGCTGACCTATCTGTGAGTATGAGTGGGGGCATGCACACATGACTGTGAGCATGGAGAGATGCGCATATGCAGAGATGAGCACGAGCATTGGCCTACGTAAATGGGACCAAATCGTGATGAGCAGGTGGTGAACATCATCGTACGATGGCCAGCCAGTGGCAAGCTTGTCACAAGGAGAATGACGTCCCTGCCAGGTTTACGGTGAACCTACCTACGAGAGTTTTTAGTGGAAACTTTCGCAGGGTGAAAATCGTTAGGAGAAAGAACAGTTTCCATGACATCCTCCCAAATTGTTTTTACCTCCTTCCGTGTCCAACCCACTTCGATAAATGCCTGTGCATACGTCTACCCCTTCGGCATAGACGCACGACTCTGCTGAAGACTAATGACTCGTTCTCTTCGTGCCATGACTGCTACATGACCTCCTCTTAACCTGAAAAGCAGACTGGGCAAGGGAAAGGCAGCCAAAATTTTCCCAACAGCCATCCAGAGAGCGACACATTTTGCCACATCCAGCAGGGCCAGCAACCTTTCAACTGAAACCTCAGTTCATGTGGTTCTGGTTAATTTCACACCCCTGTCTTGTATGATAAATAAGTGTGCTGCTGTACAGTAGGGTTGAGCACGGGGGCAGACTGGGCCCTGCCAGGTCGGCCCTCCCCGAAACTGTCCCGGGCCGAACCTCTAAGTTGGGCTGTCGGCCCGGGGCGGGCCGGGCGGTCCTGGTCCGCCGGACCATCGGCGGCTTGATTTTGGCTAGGCATGAGCGAAAGGCCGCAACCTGACCCATGTTTTTGGCCGGTCGGCATCATCGGATCGGGTCGGATCGGGTCGGGTCGGGCCTTAGGCCGACTTTGAACTGAGACTCGGAATTGGGTCAAAAACAGGGTAGCCGGGTCGGGCTTTGACTTGACCCGATTTCGACACTTGGGAAACCCCGAAAGTCGATGTCGAGGGGACATTTTTCCACTCAACATCAGTCCCGCATCCTAACTAACCGCCAGCCCAGAAATCCTAGTTTTTAGGCAAGTACTAGTAGACTATGTCCAGAGGATGAATGTCGAAAGATCTATACAGATTGGGAGTGGAGGATTTTGGGAATTGTAGATTCAGTGCGGTAAAAGGTGGTGAGCAGTGACGAATTGGTTGGAAATTTTTGTTCCAATTCTTCGAAACGTGTGCCTAGGCTGAGAAAATTACAGGTAAAAAATCCTGATGCTCACAGATATCGCAACGAATTCGTCAATGGGCGGAATTCCCGATCGGCGCAGATCGACGGGCAAATCGCAGATCTGTGCAGAGGGCGGACGAGAGCAGTTTCCTGACCCGAGCCGACCTCGGGTCGACCCGACTTGATGTCGGGCCAGGAAAGACCCAACCCTGAACCCCCGGGTCGGGTCAGGGTACTCAACATCCTGGTCCGGGGCTGGCCCGACCCGACCCGACCCGGAAACCTGCTTGGCCCTGCCAAATTGGGTCGGGTCGGGCCAGATGCCTACTTTTGGCCCGCCCGTTTAGGGGTGGACCGGGCCGGCCCGTCTCGAGGTGCGGCTCTGGTCGGGCCGTTTTGGCCCGCTTTTGAGACCCATGCTCCGCTCTCATTGAGGCCTATCAGAGCGTATGGTAGGAAGTATATGAGAACCGTATTAGTTTCAAAATTAACGAGAGCAAGAGCTGAAACTAGGCCAGTATGGTTTATGCCTACATGGTTATACATTATCGAGATGGAATTGAGAGGGTTTGTTTTGTGCATTATTCTCGCTTTGATAGCCATGGCTCGTTCGTTTGAGTTGAACCGAGCTTAGTCTGCCACAGTCCTAGGAAGCCTTATGATGAAGGGACCAAGTTTGTCTACCAGAATTTGCCACCATAAGAAATGTGTTCAGGGAAGGCATGAAAGACTAGGCACGAGCATAGGTCTAAGACACGCCGACTTGGTTCAAGTTGCCATGAGCCGGTGGGCTGACGAGCCAGTCGGGCAGCTGACCAAGCTCGTGGCTCGTCCATTGTAGACAAGTAGACATTGCTGCTTCGGGTGAATCTTGCATTTCGGCTTTGAATTTGCTTTTCGAGTTTCTCATCTGGGTAGAAACGGATCTTGGCTCGTCGAGATCGATTTGGTTCCAGTCAGTTGATTCTCGGATTGCCGGCTTGTGTTGACTCGATTGTCATCTTGGACCCGTGTTTCAATAAAAGGTAGAAATAGAAGAATGAGCTCCAACTATGTCAATTAAGGGTCATATGTATCTCACAAGACTCAAGAGTCATGATTCTTAGGTCACATAATTCTTGAGTCATGACTCAAGAGTCATATGTATCCCACCAGACAACAACATGATTTTTCATGATATGGGAGCCATCCCGGATCATCAAGCATATTCTTGCCCAGTTCGGGCCAGCCAGGTTCGACCAGCTTGTGGCCGGCAGGTGAACGAATTAGTTTAACAAGCCGGCAAGCCGGGTCTCGGCTCGTCTGGCATATGTTGGACTATATGCGTCTGGCGTACCAGACGTGTTCGTACTATACGCCCACGTACGTACGTTGTACGTTGGATTTCATGCCTTAGGATATGCTCAAAATACGGTGGCCCGGACAGGGTAGAAAATGTTCCGGGCAGGGGAAAAATTATCAGGGAGTGAGTGATGGTCCCTATATTATATGATTCTTGCCGATCTGCACGGATCTGCTGGCGGAATACCAAATTCGTGCGGATATGGCTGCGGAATTCTAGATTCCCGCGGATCTGGCGGCGGAATGCCTGATCTGCACGTCTCTGACTAGCGTCCAGCTGCGACATTAGCGGTCGACGTAGCTTTTCAAAACTATGTAGAATAACATAGGCGTGAGACACCCCTTGCCGTGGTACGCACACACACCGACGTGAAAGCTTAAGTGTGGTTGGAAGGGAAGGGTTGGGTTTGGGAGGTGGTGTGAGGTTAGATATGAGCATCAAACCGAACTTAAGTTCGGTTCAAGATGTTCGGTTCGAGCTTTTTTGGGCAAAAAAGTTTGAGCAAACCTAATAGAAGTTCGCGCGAACTTTTCCGGTTCGAGATTTGAATTTCGAACCGAACAGGTTCGAAGTGCGAATGTGTTAGATTCGAACCGCGAAGGGTTCGAATTACATTTCTCGCCAAACCGAAACCCCCTCGACTTTCCCGTCAAAATCGGGAAAGTCGAAAGGTTGGCTGCCATTTCGAGGCAGCCAACCCTAGTCTCGTAGTTTTAGAAGCTCACATCTAGATCTAGATCTAGTCTAGGCTCTAGCACAACCATAGTTCATCTACAAGGTTCTTTCACCCTTAGTGGGAATATAAGCTTATTGCGTATATAAGCTTATCTTATATACGCACTCGTATATACGCTAAACGCTTTCGGGCCGAGTTTGGGAATACGCTTTTCCGGGCAGAAAAAAAACTTCCCGGGCAGGGTCAAAAAAACCCTGGGAAGGGGGGGGGGGGGGGGGGGGGGGTATGGGGCAGGGGTTTGGGGTCTGAAATTTCAGAGTACATTTTTTTCCCACTAAGTCACATACACCAAGGCCTGCACATAACTTTCCCCTACTCTCTAACTCTCTTACCACTACCATCACTACAATGGTACACTACACCATCACGACCATCACTTATATCCTGGACTCTCTAGGTACTACTCCTTAGGCCTGGCCGCCCACTGCAATGCAAGCCACATATGCCCCCTCTACTTAGCGTACTCGTCTTCGAGGATGTCGTCGTCGCTTTCCTCCTCATCCTCTCCCTTCGCCTCGTCTTCCAGCCCATTGTATCCCGCCGGGATTGGAGGCTCCGCTCCTATCCCGGCCACCACATGTGGCAGGACATCGGCGCGCGTGTGCCAGTTGCGCACAACATTCCAGTTGTGCGTAACATAGACCAAGTCCCTGCACTTGGCGGATCCGAGCCTGTTCCGACGTGCGGTGTGGACGACATCCCAAGATGACCATCCACGCTCACAAGGTGAGGCGGACACGGGCTGAGACAGCACCCGTACCGCGAGCCCCGCCACACGTGGAGCATCGGTCCCATTCCACTGCCACCACTTCACCATGCTATACTTCCCCTCTTTCACCAGCTTCCTTTGTGCCACGGCTTCCGGCATCCCAAAAGAACCCTTCATGTCAAGAAACGCCCTCAGCCCGTCCCCCAGCTCAAGCAAGATGCTGCAAGCGTCATCCCCCCCATCCCCGCGGCTCGCAAGGAACTCGGCGTACTGGCTGATGAACACCTTGAAGACCTTCGTGCACTCGAGATCAGTGCCGAAGATATCTTCCTCCTGATTGGCGGGGTTGAGGATGCGGCCAGCGACATGCATGGCGCATGCGAGGCTGCCGTCCCAGCGGTCTCTGAGGATCTTGCGGATCTGGTCCTTATCCGCGTTGCTCAGCTGCTCCTCGTCCGCATCGAGTAAGTCCCCCACGTCCTCAGTCAACTGAAGCATAACATCGTATATCCTCCCCATCATCCCCACGGCATGCCCGTCCGTCTGCCTCATCGCCTTATAGGGCAGCTTCAGGAGGGCAGTGAAGAAGTCGGCCGTCTTCCACCAGGCGGCATCATGGATCAGCGCAGCAAACGCGTCGCATGATTTCTTCCGGTCCCCTACCGCCCACTCCTTCCACCCCTCGCTCGTCACCATGTTGGTGAGGCTGCCGCGCATCGCACACAGCCGGGAGATGGAGATGTAGTTCGTCCCGAACCTCGTTCCAGCCGGCTTCAGCGCTTCCAGAACCTTCCCCTCCACCAATTCCGGCGTGCGCAGGTACCCGCGGGTCCAATGGTGGTTGCGGACGAAGCTGCTAATCTCCCCTCCCTTGTCGACCACCGGCTTAGCCCACCCCATCTTCCCCACGTCTTCCAGGAGAAGATCCATCACATGGGTGGCGCACGGCACGTCTTGAATGTGCGGCCACTCCTGAATCAGTCGCTTCACCGCCACCGCGTAGTTCGATCCCCCATCCATGCAGAACGCCACAACGTTCTCTGGCCCCACTTCCTCCACCACGGGCCTGAGAATCCCCGCCACGTAACCACCCGTTTTCTTCTCCATGTTGCAGTCAACACAGTCGTAGAAGACGGCGCCCGAATCATTGACGAGAAGAATGTTGGCCTGCGGCCTGCCCCTGCGGTCCGTCATCATGTCGGACGACACCGTCACGCCCGTCCGCTTCCAGCTCGTTTTGACGCCCACCAAACCCGCCTCGATGCCGTTGCGACACGCTACAAGGCCAGCACCGCCGACGTATTTCCGCTTGGGGGGGACGTAGTCTTTCCCGGCGCGGGAGACGTTGTTCAATGCGTTGACCATCAGAGGATGGTCAATGTGGCGCTCGGGGATGTGGAGGGCGGCCCAAGCAAGCGCAAGTGACTCGTCCGCTTCTCGCTTTCGTGCAGCCGTATCCCCCTCGAGGTAATCGGTGATTCGCGCGCGCTTCCCACCGTCAGCCGTCACTGCGGCAACCGCGGCAGCAGCGGCCCGCCTCCTTTCGTCGGCCGCAGCAGTCTTTGCCTCGTAATGCGCTTTCATGGCCCGACGCACATCTTGCGGCGCATCCTTGCACAGCACCACTTCACGGCGTTTCATGCCCTTCCACGACGCGAAGTGTTGCGCGCATCGGATGGCAGCACCGGTGTAGAGGTTGCTGCAGAACTTGCACTCGTACTGCTGGGCTTTACCCTCGACCCGCTTGACGATGCGGAAATGCTTGAAGACGACATGGTCGACGTCGGGGAGATACTCCCGTGCCTCGGTTAGAAGAGTCTGCGAGCTGCCAACGGTGTTAACTGACGGTGTCGTGGGAGAAGTGGTAGTAGTCGACATAGGCACCAGGCGCTAGGGAATGCCCAGTGCTCTGCTGGTAGCGGGAGAAGACCTAATGAGTTGGATGTTGGGGGTGTGCGTGTTTAATAGCGAGTAGATTGGGGGAGTTGGAAGATGGGCAACTGAAGTTGGAATCGCAATTGGTTGTGAAGGTTTTGAATGCGGTACTGACTGTGACCACCAAAATGTGAGGGAACGTGCAAGCGCGACTCGACGTACGTTACTTTCCATTCGCGGCTCAAACTTTCAACCCACGTCCACGCTAGCACACAGCGCGGACGTGACATTTGACCCCGCCAATGTGTTCGTCGTGCAATTCCGAAGCGAACCGTATAGGTTGAATTTTTTTGGCCGGGCTGCCCCTAAAAAAATTTGGCTAGCGTATAGCGTATTCGCTAGCGTTTTGCGTATTGCGTATAAACGCTAGCGTGTATACGCTAAACGCAAACAGTTCTGAGCGTATTTTCCCACTAAGCTTTCACCACCACGTTATCTTAAGATGTGACAAACGTCTACTTGTTTGCTCTCGTCAAAACCGTTAGGTGTGCATGCATTTTAGAATCCCTTGTCCATCATTTCAAATCTCAAACCTAACAAGGTTCGAGTTCGCACAAACCTTTCAAGGTTCGCGCAAACCTTTATGGTTCGCTATTAAGTTCTCAAACCTCAAACCTCAAAAATCTGAAAAAAAAAATAGAGCAAACCTGTTCGGTTCGGTTCGACCAACAAGCAAGGTTCGAAAAGGTTTGATCAAACATGTTTGGTTCGTACTCATATCTATGTGAGGTTATGCGCGGTGGAAGGGGGGTTTGGGTGAGGGGGAAGGCATTCGACTTACAAATGTCAAGGCAGGTTACGGAGAATTGCAGATCTACGTACCGCGTATTTGTTCCCGTATCACATTTTTTCTTTTATAGATGAACACATAAACGTGATACGAAAAAAGGCCTAAGCGTTTTTTTCCAACATAGTGTCAAAATGCTAACATTCGGCTACCCCGTCACATCATGCACATTTGAGCACCACTTTGGCCACTGGTCATCATTGGTCCGCACGCTGCACTCCTCACTGCTTCTTTGGTTCTATGTGTTTGTGTGTTTGTGTGTTTGTGTAGCATTTTAGACTAGCAACTCTTATGATATCTCCTATTGCTCCTTAAAAAAAAGGTGTTGCATAGTGTTGAAATGTAGAAACCCTGGTTGTGCTAACACTTGGAGGCACCTACTAGGCTAAGTACCTCGTCCTATAATCACATTCACATCTCGTCGTGGCATCTTCCACTCTTGCAGCCACCCATAACTGCCCAACTAAGTGTGTGTAACGCGTCGTGATTATGTGCTTGTTCAACACTCAGGATTACCCCAAATTGGTTTCATTTGCTTTCACTAATTGTAGTGGTTGTTTCTTGCAACATTGTGTAATAGTTCGATGGTATAGTTCAGCAGCTTCTTTCTGGTGTGCTCACAATCAAGCACCTTCTAAAGTAGGTAGCTTATATCACAAATCACATATCAGCATGTCATGTTCACTCATCCCCCTCCTACATTTTAGTTCAGCTCTATTTATTCAAGAAGAAACATGGCACCGTTTTCATGCGCTCTGTAGCAATGGTTTGATCGAATCCGCTTTACATGCAGCCATACTCATGTGTCCATACATTGATGTATTGCTTTATTGCTGTATTCTATGTTCCTGTGCGCCCATACACCGTTTATACATTGTATCATTAGGTATCTTTACGGAAATTCTCTGAGTGGGTCTATTCCATCCACCATCGGTAGCCTGAGCAACCTCAAGACATTGTGAGTATCGTGAAGGGAATAGGAAAGTGAGCCAACATGACGTCACACATGTTCAGAAACTAGAGGGCCTGCGATGGCGACACCAGGTCTACTTGATTTGAGACGAGCATACATGCTAGGCATGTCCACGGGCTGGCGCTGGGTCGAGCTAGCCCGCTAGCTCAGGGCCTGGGGGGGGCGGCCTATGGAAGGTCGGTTCTACAGCAAGTTTGCCAGAGATCTGCAGCAAGGCGACTAGTTGGTGGGCTCAGACTATGATACAACTAGTAATTGCACATGAATTTTCTGCAGCAAGCTGACCCAACAGGCCGGGCTAGTAATTGCCAGGCTGAGATCGACAAGCGGTACATGCAAAAAGGGCAGTCTGGAACATGTTCCAAAAAGACTGGCCCAACCACGCTGTCCCACGCCATTCACATTGAAATACTTCATGACTTGAGGGTCCAGGCTCGGCCATATGAGCATTTGGAGCTGTTGGAAATGACTCACAAATGCAAGGCTTTTACACATAGTGGGTTTGAGCATAGGCCTATAACCAGCTTAGTCGTTTCATTGCATGAGATGAGTGGGCAGCGAATTGGGCCTATGGCTCGTCTATGATACGCAAACCAATCGAGCCAGAACGAGCTTGTATGCCTCGCCACAATTTGTCAAATCTGCATGGAGATGCCAGTTTGCTGCCAGATGTATGTGGATCTTGCATTTTTTCACCACATTCACATAAAATAGAAAACTTTTCATTGCCTTATCCATATGTAGTGCTCCTTCCAATGGCTAAGGGGTAGGAACAAGCAAGAATATCCTTTTGAATACAGTGACTGCAGACCATGTGTGCTCCTACTCGAATTCAATGCTACTCACCAGCTAAGTGACGAAAGACGCGTCTAGCGTCGCGAGAAGACGCTAGACACCCACTTGGGGCTAGTTGTAAGCTGAAAAAGACGCAAGCTTGGGCAGGAAAAAAAAAAACCTCTGGCCAGGCAAAATAACCCATCTAGGAGGGGGGAAGAGGGGGTTTCGAGCAATTGCAACCGCATTAAATATGGATTATCTTGAAAACCTTCCCTAAACACCACATTTCCACACACATAATGAAACCGAGATTTAGGGTTTTCGAAAGAGAATAAGGTCGACTAGGAGAGAAGACTCCGAATGTCGACCTATTTCTCTTCTTACATGGGGTTCAGGTCGGCAAGGTTGTGGGGGGGAAGATGCAGTGCGACAGTGTGTGGTGGTTGGGGGAAAAATGGTTGTTAGCGATTTCGCTTTGCCAAATTAACAAAATTGCTCCCATTCTTTTGCGATTTCGTTTGGCGACCTCGCTCTCATCAACTTACGCGTTCGCGGATCTAAACTTGGCGTCAAAATCGCAAATGGCGATTTCGCGGGTCGATTGTTTTTTTTTTTTTTTCCCAGGCAGCCCGAAAAAAATTTCCGCGGAGCGTCCTGTGTCTTCGTGTGCGTCCTGCGTCCTGCGTCTTGACGCTGCGTCCAGACGCAAGACACAAGACGCCCTGAGCGCCTTTAGCCACCAGTGCCAGTTGACGTGTCAGGTGGGAGGACCCAAGCTTGTCATCCGGGTCGCCTCCACCAAAGTTTCCCCCAACGAGCACGAGCACGAGGACGTCTCTCAACGAGGACAACTTGACCTCGTACATCCTGCAGGACGAGGCGATGCAGGAGGCTGAGCGGTCACAGGAGCTCTTGGCGCCGGCCAACTTCGTCGCCCCGGCGAAGCAGGGAGTTCGACCGGGGCAGCTTGGACAGTCTGGCGGCGGAGGTAGTAGTGGTTGGAACTCGACCAAGGAGGTCGACAAGAAGAAGTCGACCAAGGACAGCGGTCGTGGAGCAGGAGGTCGACGTCGGGAGTGCTGGTTGTGCGGCGACCCCGACCACCTCTCCTTCGAATGCTACGACCGAAGCGACTCCGACGACGACGACGCCAAGGGAGGCCGTGGGCGGTCTAGCAGCCGTCGTCCTCGTCGAGGAGGAAACAAGTCGCGCAAGGAGAAGCAGTCGACCAAGTCGACCTCGGCGAAGGACGTCGACTCCTCTGCTGGTGGCTAGGCGCGGGACGACAAGACGGCGTCGTGCTCGCTGGTCGGCGTGGTGGAGCCGACCGTCTCGCTGGCGCCGGAGGCGGGAGAGGACTTCCAGGCGGTGGCAGCAGCTGTGCAGGCGAACCCGGCGGTGGTCCTGCTCGACAGCGGTTGCTCTTATCACCTGATGGGGACGAAGAAGGTCTTCGTCGACCTGCAGCCGAGCGGCTCCATCAAGCACGTGCGCGGCTTCAATGGGGTGTTGCAGGACGTCCAAGGCCGCGGCACCGTCGCCTTGCAAGGGGAGGCTGGGAAGCAGGTGCTCATCCCCGACGTGTTGTACGTCCCAAGCGTGAGGGCAAACCTGCTGTCGGCCGGCCAGCTGAAGGAGCACGACGTGAAGCTGCAGGAGGACGGCGACGGAATGCTGCTCGTCTCGGCAGTCGGCGAGGTGCTCGGTCGGGCGACGTACTCCGGACGTGTACTCTGCAACGACCTACGTCCCTGCCCTCCGAGGTCGACGTCGCCCACGCCGGAGGTCGTGGCTCTGCGGGCGATCGTTTCGAAGACGAAGTCGACGCCGGACAGGATGCATGCGAGGCTGGCGCACGTCGGCATGGACACCATCAGGAGCTCGGCGAGGAATGAGGTCGCCATCGGGCTGGACCTCATGTCGGCGACGGGCGCCGACTCACCGTGTGTCTCGTGCGTCGGCGGGAAGCTGGCGCGGTACACCTTCCCCGACCAAGGCTCCGACGCCGACGACGTGCTGGTCGTCGTGCACATCGATTTGTGCGGGCCGCTTCGCGTAGCTGCCAAAGACGGTAGCTTGTACTTCCTGCTGCTGAAGGACCGCAAGACCACGTGTGGGTGAGGCCGGTCGCCAAGAAGTCGGATGTGCTGCTGGAGTTCCAGAAGTGGCTGGTGTTGGTGGAGAGGCAGACGAAGAAGTCGGTGCTGATGCTTCGCACGACCGAGGAGGGGAGTTCCTCGGGAAGAAGTTCACCGACTTCGTGGACGGCAAGGGCATCGTCCACGACCTTACGTGCCCATCCACCCCGCAGCAAAACGGCATGGCGGAGCGGGAGATGCGGACGATGCTGCTGCACATGGGCGTGCAGCACCACTGGTGGCACCTCGCTCTGCGGCAGGCCGTCTGGGTCCGCAACTGCCTTGAGCGGTCGACGCTGCCGCAGGGGACGACGCCGTACCAGCTGCTCACCGGGGCGAAGCCCGACTTGTCGCTGGCGCGGGTGTAGGGCTGCATGGCGCAGTTCCTTGTCCCCGAGCAGTAGCGTGGTGGGAAGCTGAAGCCGAAGACCCGGTGGGGCCTTCACCTTGGCGTGTCGGCGGAGAGCAAGGGCTGGGAGCTCCTTGACGTCGCCGCCAACTGGGTGGTCACCACGTCGGACGTGGTCTTCTACGAGGAGATGTCGTTGGCCGAGTGGAAGGTGGTGCACGGGCCGGCGTCCGGACGGACGCCGACCATCCCGCCGACTGACACTTCGTCGGCTACGTTGCCTCTGCTCGCCGAGGTCGGTGAGCTTGCCGCCGCGGACGTCGAGGACGTCCGTCCTCCTTCCCCTCCCCCTCAGACCCCTGCCCCTCCTCTCGTGGCCGACCTGCACGGGCTGACTCCGATGTCGGCCTCCGGCGATGAAGGGAGTAGCGGGACGTCGCCTTCGGCGCCGGCCAAGGGCATCGCCGGGGGCCGACGTGACGAGCGGCCAGTCGACGTCGGGGACGGGCAGGTCGAGGAGGAGAAGCAAGGCACAGACGGCACCAGCAAGGCAGCAGCCGACAGGGGAGCAGGGAGCGGTGACGCCGACCACGGAGCAGTCGGCGACAGGGCAGTCAGCAGGGCAGCCGCCGGCAGGGGAGGAGCTATCAGGGACGCCGTCTGCGGTGCCCCAGGACGACGAGGACGGCGCAGCCGACGGCGCAGCCGACGACGACGATGGGGAGCAGTCGGGGGACGCGGAGTCCACCGACAGCGCAGTCGGGGAGGTTCTGCCTGAGCTGCGACGCTCGGGCAGAGCACGGAGGCCGCCTGAGCGCCTCACCTACTACGTGTGCCGGGTGTCGGACAACATCGCCGCCATGTATGAAGACGTCGAGGATGAGCCACCGTACGACGACGACGACGCCGTGGAAGGTGTCGACCTCGACGACGCCGCGGATGACATCGACCTCGATGACCTCGCGGATGACATCGACCTGCCGGAGCTCGACCCCGATGTGCTCGCCGACCCCGAACACCGCTGAGACATCGGTACGATGACTGTGAAGGAGGCGTTGGCGAGCTCGAAGGGCAAGGCGGCCATGGACGAGTAGATCCGCAGTCTGATTGGCATGGGCACTTGGGAGCTGGTCGAACGCCCGCCGGGGGCCAACATCATGAAGAACCGGTGGGTGTTGACGACGAAGTACCACGTCAACGACACCGTCGAGCGCGAGAAGGCGAGACTTGTCGTGAAGGGCTTCACGCAGGTGTACGGCGCCGACTACGACGAGACGTTCGCGCTGGTGGGCAGCTACGTCACGCTGAGGATCTTCCTCAGCATCGTCGCCGTCCTCAACCTCAACCTGATGCAGCTCGACATGAAGAACACCTTCCTGCAGAGCAAGCTCGACCGGGTGCTCTATATGTCCCAGTCGGACTACTTCAACGACGGACGGAATCAGCCGGGTGTGCAAGCTGCTGAAGAGCCTGTACGGGCTGAAGCATTCGCCGCTGCTGTGGTACTTGGCGCTCAACGACGTGCTGGTCGGCGCCGGGTGGAAGAAAACCAGGTCGACGAGACTCTGTACTTCAAGGTCGGCGACGACGGCGTAGCCTGCTGGGTGCTGGTCTACGTCGACGACTTGCTTGCCGCTAGCAGCAGCAGCGAGATGCTGAAGGAGCTGAAGGAGGCACTGGAGTCCGCCTTCGAGCTGCGTGAGATCTCGCCGGTGCAGAAGTACCTCGGGCTGGAGATCGTCCGCGATAGGTCGGCGGGGAAGCTGTGGCTGCACCAGCAGGGCTACGCCAACAAGCTGCGTAGGCGCTTCCTCGACGAGGAGCAAACCGGGCGTACTCCGAAGACGCCGGTCTCGGTCGACGCCTACGCCGAGCTTACCTTCGACGACGAGGAGGCGCAGGAGCGATAGGAGGAGGAGTACCGGCAGAAGGTCGGCTCGCTGCAGTTCGCGGCAACGATGACGAGGCCGGACGTCGCCTTCGCCTGCAGCAAGCTGGGGAGCGGCCTCACGGTGAGGAGCGACCAGCACTGGCGCGAGGTCGACCGCTGCCTCGCCTACCTCGCCAACACGCGTGACACCGCCCTGGAGTTCGGCGGTGGGCTTGAGTCGCTGGAGCTGGTCGGCTACGTTGACGCCGACGACGCCGGTGACAAGCAGAACAGGACGAGCACGGGCGGCTACGTGTTCGTCTACGGAGGGGCCGCAGTCTCCTGGTCGAGCCAGCACATCAAGTGCGCGACATTGTCATCGACCAAGTCGAAGTACGTGGCGGCAACGGAAGCCGGCAAGGAGGGACGTCGACTTCGCTTCCTCCTCGCAGAGTTCCAGCAGCTGGATGCTGGGAAGCCGACCGTCCTTCGGGTGGACAACAAGTCGGCCATCACAGTCGCCGAGGGCATGGGGTTGACGGGCAACCTCAAGCACATGGAGCGGCGACAGGCCTGGTTGCAGCACATGGTGAAGCGCGGGAAGTTCGCACAGAAGTACATCCGACCGCTGAGCAGACGGCCGACTTCCTGACGAAGGCTCTGCACTATCCGGCCTTCAACCGGTGCTCCGTCGCCATAGGCCAGGTGCGCTTGGCCGACGTGGGCGACGAAGTTGACGAAGTGCAGCAGTAGGTGCCATGCCCTCCTGCATGGCTGGTGCGGTGGTCGCCGTGCTGTGGGGTGCACGTCGAGGGGCTATTCTCGGAGTCATACTGCCGTGTGTAGGACGGAGGCCCAAGCGGGAACGCGGCAGGGGAGTGTTAACAGGAGTTGCTGTTGGCCCCGTCCTCGCTTGGGTAGAGCCGACTGCATTGTCGGGTGTACGGGCGTGTGCAGCCGACTGGCAGCAGCGGGCGAGCTGGTCCACGAGGCTGGTCGACCAGCACAGGGCTGCTGGGGCGCCGACTTTGGGAAGGCGCCGAATTGGTTGGTCGACCTGGCAGTGGTCGACAAGGGGAGTGGTCGACCAGGCATGGTCGACAGGTAGTGGCCGTCGACTTGGGTGGTCGACGGGGACTTGCAGGAGCAGCTGGTCGACGGGTTGCCGGGACGACCAGGTTACCAGGGCGATGTGGTTCGTGAGGTGCGCGACAGTCGCCCAGGAGGGAGTCGCGAAAACGACCTGCAGTCTGGGAGTCCGCGGTCGACTTGGCTCCACAGGTGCAACCGTCGACATGTGGTCGACTTGGCACCTGCGCAACGCTCGTCGCGGTTTACGTCGTACTCAACCGTCACCTGGCACCTGCAAAGTAGGTGCACGCGCATGCGCACGTGGGCGCCTGAGGCTGCAAGGCTGGCACGTCGACCTGTGGTGTCGACCTGCGGTACACGAGGGTACCTCAGGCTGCCTGTGGGCACCTGAGGTCGACCAGCTGGCAAGTCGCCCTCGTGGTGTGCTGGGCTGGGTCGACTCGCTCTGTGCTAGGCTTGCTAGGCCTCAGATGTAGTCAACTTTGCCTATCCCCTTTGTATCACTGTTGTGAACTCTCTCTTAGTGGAACTCTTGCCAAATCTCCCCGTGAACCAGCAAGTAGTGTGCGCACTAAGGAAACAACAAACGAACGCGTAGATCACGCCTGCACCCGTGCTTAGCCCGTAGTCTAGCTCTCGTTGACATGCAGGGGCAATTACATGGTGACAGGCAGGGGCTTCCCTCTAATCCGTGTAAACCTGGAATCTCCCCACCAAATCTACCACATTGAGCTCTTGGCCTTTGAACTCCGTATGGATTTGGCTTCAAACACGCTCGTATCAGGCCATCACATGGCAGGGCCGTAATGCAATAAATCAGCATTGACTCAAATTGCTACTTGATGTAAACAACCGGCAAACGGTGCCCACTGACAATGAGCATCTTGCCTGCCAAACCCGTGCGCACACGGCTTAACATGCTTGGCATGGCAGACACAGTACATGACCTCCTTGCAGCAAGTCAGCCATGGCCGGATAGGTAGGAGGGTTTGCCTTGGTTCTGCCCTATACTCCTATTTGATGCACCTGGGCTGGCTCTTGCTTGACCGCTAAGCTAATGTCTCCTTCCCGCACAATCATGTTTCTCAAACGTTACTAGTGCTACCCTTGACAGGAAGTATGGGAGAACCGTATCGGTTTTCAAGCTACCGGAATGGGGCCGGGAGAGTCTGGATTGGATAATATCCTTGCCTTGCTAGCTATGACCCGTCCATTTGAGTTGGGCCGAGCTTGGGTTGGTTTTTCTTGAAGCTACTCCTTTAAAGCTAGAGTCGACGACGGCGAAGTTATTGAGACATGGAGTTAACACATCACACAATTATTTATTTTGGCGACAACTTATTTGTGTAGTGTAGGAGATTCTAGGTTGTGAACCTCTATAGCGAAACCCTCAAATTCTGATTCTTGTGTGCATGCATTTCTAATGGTTGTCAGGTTCTTGATTGAGTATTAATCGTCGAAATGTTAAAGCCGTTGGCCCAAATTGCACAAGTTTTAAAAACTTGACCCGCGTGGCGGTCCGCAATTTGGGCCGCGGGCTTTAACATTTGGCTATCCCATCACATCGCACATTTGTATTTGTTTACCTTGGGTCACATTCAAATGTGCCCGTAACGTCTTTTATTTGCATTAATGCCTATTAGACTGGATGTGTGAGCTATCATGACTACTTCAACTCTCATGGCTTTTTCCAAACTCCTCCACTTCTCCCTCCCCCAAATTCTCTATCCCTCTCTTTTCTTGGATGGAACCCGTTGCGTGTCTGTACCATCAGGGAGCTATCACATAACAATTTGAGTGGTTCTATTCCATCCACCATCGGCAAGTTGACCAGCCTTACATATCTGTCAGTATAAAAAAAACCTTACTGAATCTTCACCTTTGGCTTAGATGGCTCTGATTCATTCCTTCAACCACTGGTCAAAGCTGGTTTTCGGTCTGATCTGAGGATGAGCAAGGAAAGCCAGGCCAGCCTGCTAGGGCATCAAGGGCTAACAAAGCGGTAATGGGTTTGGTTCATAACAAGGCTATGGGAGGTACATCGCATGGTGACAGGCAGGGGCTTCCCATCACACACACACACACACACACACACACACACACACACACACACACGCGCGCGCGCACACACACGCACACACACACGCACACACCCATACGTCTTTCCAACGTTTCTGGCCTACAGACTTTCCTTCACAAGATCAATTTGTTCAAATGCAGATAGCAAAGCCGTTATATTATGGAGTACACTATTTTATGCACTGTGCATGCACAGCTGTTTCAGGTCATTGTTGTATCTTGCTGTGCGTTTTCGCCAACACTAACATAACATTGTGTACTCTATATTCTTTTCTCCTGCTTCTGAATGTGTGCACATTTGCATGTTTGCCATGAGGCTCAGAATAGCGCAGATTATCTTCATTTTTTTTCACCCATTATATACTTTGCTTGCTTTACCATCAGACATCTCAGCACGAACGCTCTGAGTGGGTCTATTCCATCCACCATCGGCAAAATGAGCAACCTCAAAACATTGTGAGTATCGGCAATGATTTTAATAAGACCTATGACCTCGCACAGGTTCATACATAAAAGGGCCTCTGATGGTGTAATTTAAGCAAATTGTTTTGAGAATGAGCATACACGCTAGGATTAGAGTACGGGCTGGTACTGGGCTGGCCAGGCCGTTGACCCAGGGGCCAGCCTAAAAGCAGCCTGATGGGTCGTTTTCACACCAAGTCTGCCAGAGGTCTGCAGCAAGGAGAGGAACTAGGGTCGCTCACTGATCAACACGAAGCGAGCTGTTGGTGTTTTATTCGCTACTAAATGCTGGACTGAGGCTGACAGGCTGGACATGCAAAAAGTTCAGTTTGGCCTGTGTTGCAATTGGGCTGACTCGACCAACTTAGGTCACAACCTCAACTATGAAGAAATGCTAGGCTGTCAGGCCCCACTAGCGGAGCCTCCAAATTGTTTTTTCATGTGCACGGACAAACATTCTCAAGGGTTAAGATGTTGTCCATTTTGCATTCATCGTCTAAATGTCAACATTTGGCCATCCCGGCTTAGCGTCTTGGGCACATTTGTCTATCTGGTGGTCCATTTCAGCCTCTTGTCATCGATTTGCAGGCTATACTTTTCACCCCTGCTTTGGTGTACACATGTTTGCGTGCTTATGCAACATTCAGAACAGCCCCTCTTATGGCATCTCTTGTTGTCCATTCTTGTGATGTCTGCTCCTTATAATAATGTGGTAGAAAGTCGAACTTGAAGTGTAGGAAACATGTTTGCGCTCACGCTTGGAGACACGTATTGGGATAGGTACTTGAAATTTGAGTGTAACAACTTCCACTTCCAACACCTCCTATTAGCATGTGTGTAAGCTATTGTAAGTACGAGTTTAACACTCATGGCTTTTACACATTCTGTTTCCACTTCCCTCTCCTACCAACTATTGACTCTATCTCTCTCTATCCTGGTCCCCCTTTGGTTGTATGTACCATCAGGCGTCTATCACGTAACAGTTTTAGTGGTTCGATTCCATCCACCATTGGCAACATGATCAGCCTTGATTACCTGTCAGTATTCAAGAAATTTAATTGATATTTCTCATTTGCATGTCTAATCATTCCTGCATCTACAGATGAAGCTGGATTTGGGCTTCGCTAAGCAGGTATACTTTGGCCCACATGACTGAACCACTTTGCACTTTGGAACTCGAGGTCGGGAAGGGAGACAGCGCATGGCGGTGACCAACATTGGCAGAACAGTTGTGAGGGAGATCTCTCCCACCCGCGGTGACGCATCACCAGTCTAGCCTGCCACTCACAGTGGTTTCCTTCTGTGTGCCAGGGTCTGTCCCCGATCTCTGCACATTAGCCGCACAATAAAGTCCTGCAATGTTCAAACGATATGATACATGGGCCAGGGCCATCAAGGCCCATCAGCGGAATGGGATGGTTTCACAACAAGGCTATGGGGGGTCAATCACATGGTGACAGGCAGGGGCTTCCCTCTAATCCGTGTAAATCTGGAATCTCCCCACCAAATCTACCACGTTGAGCTCTTGGCCTTTGAACTCCGTATGGATTTGGCTTCAAACACGCTCGTATCAGGCCATCACATGGCAGGGCCATAATGCAATAAATCAGCATTGACTCAAATTGCTACTTGATGTAAACAACTGGCAAACGGTGCCTACTGACAATGATCATCTTGCCTGCCAAATCCGTGTGCACACGGCTTAACATGCTTGGCATGGCAGACACAGTACATGAACTCCTTGCAGCAAGTCAGCCATGGCCGGATAGGTAGGAGAGTTGGCCTGCCCTATACTCCTATTTGACGCACCTGGGCTGGCTCTTGCCTGACCGCTAAGCTAATGTCTCCTTCCCGCACAATCATGTTTCTGAAACGTTACTAGTGCTACCCATGACAGGAAGTATGGGAGAACCGTATCGGTTTTCAAGCTACCAGAATGTGCTCAGGAGGGTTTGGATTAGATAATATCGTTGCCTTGCTAGCTATGACCCGTCCACTTGAGTTGGGCCGAGCTTGGTCTGGTTTTTCTTGAAGCTACTCCTCTTAAAGCTAGAATTGGCGACGGCAATCTTCCAAAGCTGACACTCGAGACCGCAACTTTTTGCGGAATGTGAGGGGACTATATCCAATCGGAACGCCGTGTAGTCACATATGAGACGTGAGAGCCACGCAGCAGGCCAATGCTAGCCATCCATTTTTTTTCCAACCCACGAGACAGGTCTTGCCAGCAACGCACGAGCATGTGAGATGGACACATGCAATCACCAGTAATGTATCCCCCGCGAGGCATAAGCAGACATGCAAACTTGGTCCGGGCTGAACGATTGGCCAGCCTGTCCAGATCTGGGAAGATTTTATATGTGTCGGCTTGCCAAAGGACGAACTGCACTGGTTTGTCTTGAAACATAGCCCCACGCAAACCTCGTACGGCATGCCCAGGACCCTTGCGACCTTTTTTACGATCCGAGACTAAAAGCTTGTGGTAGTACTGAGTGTAGATATTTAATCATGATGGCCACATATATCTTACAAGAAATGACCAACTTAGGTCACAACCTCAACTATGAAGAAATGCTAGGCTGTCAGGCCCCACTAGCGGAGCCTCCAAATTGTTTTTTCATGTGCACGGACAAACATTCTCAAGGGTTAAGATGTTGTCCATTTTGCATTCACGGTCTAAAAGTTAACATTTGGCCATCCCAGCTTAGCACCTTGGGCACATTTGTCTATCTGGTGGTCCACTTCAGCCTCTTGTCATCGATTTGCAGGCTATAATTTTCACCCCTGCTTTGGTGTACACATGTTTGCGTGCTTATGCAACATTCAGAACAGCCCCACTTATGGCATCTCTTGTTGTCCATTCTTGTGATGTCTGCTCCTTATAATAATGTGGTAGAAAGTCGAACTTGAAGTGTAGGAAACATGTTTGCGCTCACGCTTGGAGACACGTATTGAGATAGGTACTTGAAATTTGAGCGTAACAGCTTCCACTTCCAACACCTCCTATTAGCATGTGTGTAAGCTATTGTAAGTACGAGTTTAACACTCATGGCTTTTACACATTCTGTTTCCACTTCCCTCTCCTACCAACTATTGACTCTATCTCTCTCTTTCCTGGTCCCCCTTTGGTTGTATGTACCATCAGGCATCTATCAAGTAACAGTTTTAGTGGTTCGATTCCATCCACCATTGGCAACATGATCAGCCTTGATTACCTGTCAGTATCCAAGAAATTATATTGATATTTCTCATTTGCATGTCTAATCATTCCTGCATCTACAGATGAAGCTGGATTTGGGCTTCTCTACGCAGGTATACTTTGGCCCACATGACTGAACCACTTTGCACTTTGAAACTCGAGGTCGGGAAGGGAGACAGCGCATGGCGGTGACCAACATTGGCAGAACAGTTGTGAGGGAGATCTCTACCACCCGCGGTGACGCATCACCAGTCTAGCCTGCCACTCACAGTTGCCGAACTCTCCACATAAGCCTCACAACAAGGTCCATGCACAAGGGAGCTGTTGAATCCTCCATCCATACATGGAAGGAGTGAAAGCGAAAACCTTTCAAATTAGATTTGTCATGAAGAGAAAGATCCCAAGAAGACCAGATATAACTTCCATGAGTTCCAGCATACTCTAAGACGCCATTACTTACTGATCGAGTCTTAGCTCCACCAACTACTAATGGGTCGCCTCTCTCTGAAATGGTAAACCCTAAGCTACTCGTGAGCTCGCCATTTTCTCTCACGAACCATCTTCCCATCAAATCCGCTAGATGACAATTCTTAAGGCCAATCTGTTCCAAACGCTCACTCATTGCCATATGAGCAAGATATACACCAGTATTATTGTGAGCATAAGTTTTTGTCCAACCGGCCCAGGTTTCACTTTTGACTGCATGCATCCCTTTTGAGCTAGGAAATCTTGCCATTCCCCTCTGAATCCGCAATGTGAGATTGGGATCTTGTATTCCCCCTTGGATTAACTGTTGTAACCATGATTTCGCATGCTTATCCCTGACGCAATCAACTCTGTCTTCTCTATTGCTCTGTTGGTAGTGACAACCTCAACTATGAAGATATGCTAGGCTGTCAGGCCCCACTAGCGGAGCCTCCAAATTGTTCTCTCATGTGCATGGACAAATATTTACTGTCAACAGGAGTTGTGTGTTGGCCCCGTCCTCGCTTGGGCGGAGCCGACTTCGTGGTCGGGTGTAGGGGTGCAGCCGACCTGCAGCAGTGGGCGAGCTGGTCGACGAGGAATTCGACTTGCACAGGTGCCACTGCATGGGCGCCGACTTCAGGTAGGCCAACCTAGGAAGTCGACTCGCGGAGGGCGTCAACTTGGTGACGCCGACTTCGGAATGTTGACTCTGGGGGTCGGCTGACAACTGTGCTGGTTGACGAGAAGCTGGTCGACCAGGAGTAACGTCGACCTGGAGCTGGTCGACCAGGGGTACTGGTTGACCTGGTGAGGTCGACTAGAGGTGGCCGTCAACTTGGGTGGTCGACGGGCACGCGCAGGAGCAGCGGGTTGCCCGGTCGACCAGGTTTCCTGGGTGACGAGGTTCTGCGAAGGCACGTGACGGTCGCCCAGGCGATGTTGGCGAGGACGACCTCGGTGGTGGTATCCCGAGGTCGACGTGGCTGATCAGAAGTAGTCGTCAGCACGAAGTTGACTTGGTGTGTGCGCTGTGCAGGTGACGAGGCACTGCACGCCAATCATCTGCGAGCACTTGCGAAGCGGGTGCGCTGCTGTCCTGCGGGAGCAACGTTGGCACACCGTCAACCTGCAACGTTGGCACGTCGTCGACTTGCAGCATTGGCAAGCCGCGACTCTGCACTGCTGGAGCGCGGTCGACCAAGTCGTGCTGGCACGCGGTCGACCGTGCTGCGCTGGCAGTAGACTTGCTTGCATGCTAGCTCTGATGTAGTCTAGCCAACTTTATTGTATCCATTGTTGTGAACTTTTGCTAGTGAAACTCTTGCCAACTTGCTAAAAAAACCAGCAAGTAGTGTAAGCACGAGTAAACGGCTAAGTGGATGAACGCAGAGATCACACGAGCACCCGTGCCTAGCCCGTAGTCTAGCTCCCGTTGAAATAGTTATCTCCGCATTTTCAAGGGTTGTGATGTGTCCATTTTGCATTCATCGTCTAAATGTCAACATTTGGCCATCCCAGCGCAGCGTCTTGGGCACATTTGTCTATCTGGTGATCCACTTCAGCCTCTTGTCATCGATCTGCAGGCTATACTTTTCACCCCTGCTTTGGTGTACACATGTTTGCGTGCTTATGCAACATTCAGAACAGCCCCTCTTATGGCATCTCTTGTTGTCCATTCTTGTGATGTCTGCTCCTTATTAAAAATGTGGTAGAAAGTCGAACTTGAAGTGTAAAAAACATGTTTACACTCACGCTTGGAGGCACTTATTGGGATAGGTACTTGGAATTCGAGCGTAACAGCTTCCACTTCCAACACCTCCTATTAGCATGTGTGTAAGTTTTGTATATGTACGAGTCTAACACTCATGGCCTTTACACATTCTGTTTCCACTTCCCTCTCCTACCAACTACTGACTCTATCTCTCTCTTTCCTGACCCCCTTTGGTTGTATGTACCATCAGGAATCTAGCACGTAACAGTTTCAGTGGTTCGATTCCATCCACCATTGGCAACATGATCAGCCTTGATTACCTGTCAGTATCCAAGGAATTTAATTGATATTTCTCATTTGCATGGCTAATCATCCATGCATTTACAGATTAAGCTGGATTTGGGCTTCGCTAAGCAGGTATACTTTGGCCCACAGGACTGAACCACTTTGCACTTTGGAACTCAAGGCCGGGAAGGGAGACGGCGCATGGCGGTGACCAACATTGGCAGAACAGTTGCGAGGGAGATCTCTCCCACCCGCGGTGACGCATCACCAGTCTAGCCTGCCACTCACAGTGGTTTCCTTCTGTGTGCCAGGGTCTGTCCCCGATCTCTGCACATTAGCCGCACAATAAAGTCCTGCAATGTTCAAACGATATGATACATGGGCCAGGGCCATCAAGGCCCATCAGCGGAATGGGATGGTTTCACAACAAGGCTATGGGGGGTCAATCACATGGTGACAGGCAGGGGCTTCCCTCTAATCCGTGTAAATCTGGAATCTCCCCACCAAATCTACCACATTGAGCTCTTGGCCTTTGAACTCCGTATGGATTTGGCTTCAAACACGCTCGTATCAGGCCATCACATGGTAGGGCCGTAATGCAATAAATCTGCATTGACTCAAATTGCTACTTGATGTAAACAACCGGCAAACGGTGCCAACTGACAATGATCATCTTGCCTGCCAAATCCGTGTGCACATGGCTTAACATGCTTGGCATGGCAGACACAGTACATGAACTCCATGCACCAAGTCAGCCATGGCCGGATAGGTAGGAGAGTTGGCCTGCCCTATACTCCTATTTGACACACCTGGGCTGGCTCTTGTTTAACCGCTAAGCTAATGTCTCCTTCCCGCACAATCATGTTTCTCAAACGTTACTAGTGCTACCCTTGACAGGAAGTATGGGAGAACCGTATCGGTTTTCAAGCTACCAGAATGTGCTCAGGAGGGTCTGGATTAGATAATATCGTTGCCTTGCTAGCTATGACCCGTCCACTTGAGTTGGGCCGAGCTTGGTCTGGTTTTTTTTTAAGCTACTCCTCTTAAAGCTAGAGTTGGCGACGGCAATCTTCCAAAGCTGACACTCGAGACCGCAACTTTTTGCGGTATGTGAGGGGACTAAAATCCAATCGGAACGTCGTGTAGTCACATATGAGATGTGAGAGCCACGCAGCAGGCCAATGCTAGCCATCCAATTTATTTCCAACCCACGAGACGGGTCTTGCCAGCAACGCACGAGCATGTGAGAAGGACCCATGCAATCACCAGTAATGTATCCCCCGCAAGGCATAAGCAGACATGCAAACTTCGTCCGGGCTGAACAATTGGCCAGCCTGTCCAGATCTGGGAAGATTTTATATGTGTCGGCTTGCCAAAGGACGAACTGCACTGGTTTGTCGTGAAACATAGCCCCACGCAAACCTCGTATGGCATGCCCAGGACCCTTGCGACCTTTTTTACGATCCGAGACTAAAAGCTTGTGGTAGTACTGGGTGTAGATATTTAATCATGATGGCCACATATATCTCACAAGAAACTATGCGTCGCAAGGTTGTTCTTGGACCGGTGCATTTGGGGTGGAAGGTGCCCTTGGACTGGCGAGAGAGTCAGCCAACATTCCCCCTCTGGACCAATGCTAGCATAACCAGGGGAATCTCGTCCAAGGCTTGAGGTATGAGCCACCAACACAGATGATGCACTGGGTACATTGCACCCACAACAAGGTTCGGCAGGTGTGGGGCCCGTCCGGATGGGCAGGCATATGTCTCGTGCTGCGAAACCAGTACGTTGACCAACGAGCACTCTGCGCTCAGTCCTGTGATGACGGGCAAGTAGGGGAGTGAGTCGGAAGATGCCCACGTAAGAAATGAAGCTCATAGAAGTATGAGGCACATTGGTTCGCACGGCAAAACCACAGCGGTGAATCAGCGGTGAGCTTTGGAATTTGCCGATCCGGGCAGATCGGCGGGTGGAACCGCGATCTGCTCAAATTGGCTGGAAAAAATAGGGTACAAATAAATACCCAACCCAGGTTCGGGTTGACCTGAACGAGGCCCGGGTCGAAAATGACCCATCTGTAAAAGGCCGGGTCAGGAAAACTGGGTCGGGTCGGGATGAGTTTGTTGCCGAACTCTCCACATAAGCCTCACAACAAGGTCCATGTACAAGGGAGTTGTTGAATCCTCCATACATGGAAGGAGTGAAAGCGAAAACCTTTCAAATTAGACTTGTCATGAAGAGAAAGATCCCAAGAAGACCAGATATAACTTCCATGAGTTCCAGCATACTCTAAGACGCCATTACTTACTGATCGAGTCTTAGCTCCACCAACTACTAATGAGTCGCCTTTCTCTGAAATGGTAAACCCTAAGCTACTCGTGAGCTCACCATTTTCTCTCACGAACCATCTTCCCCTCAAATCCGCTAGATGACAATTCTTAAGGCCAATCTGTTCCAAACGCTCACTCATTGCCATATGAGCAAGATATACACCAGTATTATTGTGAGCATAAGTTTTTGTCCAACCGGCCCAGGTTTCACTTTTGACTGCATGCATCCCTTTTGAGCTAGGAAATCTTGCCATTCCCCTCTGAATCTGCAATGTGAGATTGGGATCTTGTATTCCCCCTTGGATTAACTGTTGTAACCATGATTTCGCATGCTTATCCCTGACGCAATCAACTCTGTCTTCTCTATTGCTCTGTTGGTAGTGACAACCTCAACTATGAAGATATGCTAGGCTGTCAGGCCCCACTAGCGGAGCCTCCAAATTGTTCTCTCATGTGCATGGACAAATATTTACTGTCAACAGGAGTTGTGTGTTGGCCCCGTCCTCGCTTGGGCGGAGCCGACTTCGTGGTCGGGTGTAGGGGTGCAGCCGACCTGCAGCAGTGGGCGAGCTGGTCGACGAGGAATTCAACTTGCACAGGTGCCACTGCATGGGCGCCGACTTCAGGTAGGTCAACCTAGGAAGTCGACCTGCGGAGGGCGTCAACTTGGTGACGCCGACTTCGGAATGTTGACTCTGGGGGTCGGCTGACAACTGTGCTGGTTGACGAGAAGCTGGTCGACCAGGAGTAACGTCGACCTGGAGCTGGTCGACCAGGGGTACTGGTTGACCTGGTGAGGTCGACTAGAGGTGGCCGTCAACTTGGGTGGTCGACGGGCACGCGCAGGAGCAGCGGGTTGCCCGGTCGACCAGGTTTCCTGGGTGACGGGGTTCTGCGAAGGCACGTGACGGTCGCTCAGGCGATGTTGGCGAGGACGACCTCGGTGGTGGTATCCCGAGGTCGACGTGGCTGATCAGAAGTAGTCGTCAGCACGAAGTTGACTTGGTGTGTGCGCTGTGCAGGTGACGAGGCACTGCACGCCAATCATCTGCGAGCACTTGCGAAGCGGGTGCGCTGCTGTCCTGCGGGAGCAACGTTGGCACACCGTCAACCTGCAACGTTGGCACGTCGTCGACTTGCAGCATTGGCAAGCCGCGACTCTGCACTGCTGGAGCGCGGTCGACCAAGTCGTGCTGGCACGCGATCGACCGTGCTGCGCTGGCAGTAGACTTGCTTGCATGCTAGCTCTGATGTAGTCTAGTCTTGCCAACTTTATTGTATCCATTGTTGTGAACTTTTGCTAGTGAAACTCTTGCCAACTTGCTCAAAGAACCAGCAAGTAGTGTAAGCACGAGTAAACGGCTAAGTGGATGAACTCAGAGATCACACGAGCACCCGTGCCTAGCCCGTAGTCTAGCTCCCGTTGAAATAGTTATCTCCGCATTTTCAAGGGTTGTGATGTGTCCATTTTGCATTCACCGTCTAAATGTCAACATTTGGCCATCCCAGCTCAGCGTCTTGGGCACATTTGTCTATCTGGTGATCCACTTCAGCCTCTTGTCATCGATCTGCAGGCTATACTTTTCACCCCTGCTTTGGTGTACACATGTTTGCGTGCTTATGCAACATTCAGAACAGCCCCTCTTATGGCATCTCTTGTTGTCCATTCTTGTGATGTCTGCTCCTTATTAAAAATGTGGTAGAAAGTCGAACTTGAAGTGTAAAAAACATGTTTACACTCACGCTTGGAGGCACTTATTGGGATAGGTACTTGGAATTCGAGCGTAACAGCTTCCACTTCCAACACCTCCTATTAGCATGTGTGTAAGTTTTGTATATGTACGAGTCTAACACTCATGGCCTTTACACATTCTGTTTCCACTTCCCTCTCCTACCAACTACTGACTCTATCTCTCTCTTTCCTGACCCCCTTTGGTTGTATGTACCATCAGGGATCTAGCACGTAACAGTTTCAGTGGTTCGATTCCATCCACCATCAGCAACATGATCAGCCTTACATCCCTGTCAGTATCCAAGGAATTTAATTGATATTTCTCATTTGCATGGCTAATCATCCATGCATTTACAGATTAAGCTGGATTTGGGCTTCGCTAAGCAGGTATACTTTGGCCCACAGGACTGAACCACTTTGCACTTTGGAACTCAAGGCCGGGAAGGGAGACGGCGCATGGCGGTGACCAACATTGGCAGAACAGTTGCGAGGGAGGTCTCTCCCGCCCGCGGTGACACATCACCAGTCCAGCCTGCCACTCACAGTTGTTCCTCCTGTTAGCCAGGGTCTGCCCCCGATCTCTGCACATTAGCCTCACAATAAAGTCCTGCAATGTTCAAACAATATGATACATGGGCTAGGAAATTCTGTTTTTTTCATACGTGAGCAGGATATTGAGAGTAATGCTCCTTGAAATCAAGCCAGCAGAAAAGGGCGACGACCCACGGCCTATGTTGCGGAAGACATAAGACGCACATTTAGACGCTAGACGCTCGGGCCAAAAAAATTTGGGCAGCCTGAAAAAAAAAAAATCGCACGTGCGAAATTGAATTTTGCGATTTCGAAGTGAAATTCAATTTCGCGACATTTGCACCCCCTCCCACCCATTTCGACCATAGAAAAAAGCCCCCCAAGCAAATTTGATACCCCCCCAACCGAAATTGAACACAAACCTCACTACACCGCTTAGTATCTAGAAATTCCAACCTCTATGGCAAACCACCAAGAGGTTGGGGAGCACAAATCCCACATTTGTGCTCCCCATCTTTCAATTTACCAAATTCTCTTTCAAATACCCCTTTAGGGTTTTTCTAGTTCCCTCTCGAAACCATGTTGTCTCCTATGGTACGGCGAAAATGTGACCCAATTGTGACATATGTGCATGTCCCCCACCTAGAGTTGAGCATGTGGCCCGACCCGGCCCGACCCGACCCGATTTGGCCGGGCCACACGGGCCCTCGGGTCGGGTCGAGTCGGGCCGACCTCGGGCCACAATCTTGAAACAGTCGGCCCGACCCGGGCCTACTGACTCGGGTCAAAGGGGACCCGAGTTCGGGTCGGGCCGGGTCGGGCCAGGCAGACCCGCCCCCTTAGGGCGCCTAGGTCGCGGAATATGCACCTATGTCACCATGGGGAGACTTTTTCCCCGTACCATAATTTTTTCCCCATTCTTAGGCTAAACCCTCAGGGTTTTCGAAAGAGAATTGAAAGAATTGAAGGTTGGGGAGCACAGATGAGGGATTTGTGCTCCCCAACCTCTAGGTGGTTGGGATTTCTAGATCAAGTGCGGTGAAGTGTGGTATGTGTTCAATTTTTGTTGGGGGCGATTCAAATTTGCTTGGGGGCCTGTTTATGTGGTCAAAATGGGTGGGAAGGGGTTTGAATGACGCAAGGCGAATTTCCATCTCCCGCGCGTCTTGCGTCTTCTGCAACTTAGAGTGCAGCCAGAATCGTGTATCTACGAATGTAGCTGAAAGTATGTGCATTCGTGGGGGAAAGCCTGAGATAGGAGGTAGTTTCAAGGGAGGTACGTAATACTTTAAGGCTACTAGCTGCTGGGGTGGCGAATGTAAATCGACGGGGAGAAAATCCCCTCGATCGATTTACATTTGGGTTAGGGTTTCGGCCCTAACCCTGTCGAAATCGGGTCGCGCACCTGGCCCGACCCGATTTCGACATTTTAGACCCGAAATCGGGTCGGGTCAGGCCCGACCCGAAGCCCGGTTCGGCTCGGCCCGGAATGGGCCCTCGGGTCGGGTCTTACCCCGGGTCGGGTCGGGTCGGCCCGTGCGGGCCAGAGAATCAGAAACCTTGACCCGACCCGGGCAAAACTACGGGTCGGGTCGGGTCGGCCCGACCCGAGCGGGGCACCTGCTCAACTCTACCCCCACCCTCCCCATGCCCCACAGAAGCTATTTTAGGCTGCCCGAAACTTTTTTTGGCCTGCCCGGGATTTCGTCTAATCTTGCGTCTAATCTGGCCTGAAATGCGTCTAGCGTCTTAGATGCTGTGTCTAGACGCAACCGTCTAAGATGCTAGACGCGTCTTCTGCAACATGGCCCACGGCCATGAGATATAGCTACCATTAGTTCGTCATACCAAATCCAACCATTCTCAATTTGCCCTCATATTTGGTCAAACCTAAGGGAGCCTTTTTAAAAGGCAGGAATCCTCTTATCAAACCTAAGCTAGCCCTTTTCATTAAAGAAAAAACAAAACAAAACACAAAAATCTTCCGAAGCTGACAGATATACTGAAATTAGCAAGCCGGCCTGTGATGAAGAGGTCTGCTGCAAGGAGACAGGCTGGGGCTCGCCCACTAATTTGCACAAGGATGGCAATACGCTGCTTTGATTTGTGTGGATCTGGCAAAGAGCATAGGAGTGGCCATAGTACATGACCTTTCTACAGTGCAGAGAGATGACCGTGCTTGCAAACTGGCTGGCCCGATCATGCCGGACATGCAAGAATCTCTGCACGATCGGGCACAATCAGCCCGTTTGCAAGCCCATTTGCAAGCCCATTTGCAACAGAGGCTGGCCTGACCGTGCGTGCCCTAGTTCAGCCATATGCCCTTGCCTGGGAGCGTGCTTATGTTTCATTCACCCTCAGTCATGGCAGAAATCTAGTGTTTCACATCAAGGTTGTTTCGGTCCACAATGAGCTGACTCGCAGACCAGCCAGTGGGCAGCTGATTTGGCCTGTGTGACATACGTGAGCCGGGACAAGCAGGCATGGCTCGTCGCAGTCCGTCAGATCAGATGCGAGAGAGATCTCAGATGCGAGAGAGATCTGTCCCGCTCGCCCATGGTGACGTGGTGAGAGAGCTTTCCTCTGTGATGGGGAACGACAAAGCACTCACTAGTGGTGCAAATCACCGAAGACACAGACAACGATAGTGTCCTTTCAGCAAGGTATGACTTACAATCTGGGTGCCAGTACGCATGACAGTTGCCACCGCCATTCATGTGGCCAAGCCCCCGTGAGGAACCTTGCCATCTACTTCTCTGCCAATATGATCAAGCGAGTGAATACCTTGGATCTGTGGTGTGAACACATGGCTGGGTAGGGAGATGTGCACAGCACGAGGATGATGATGACCAGCAGTGGCTGGCCAGGTACGATGGAGATTGCTCTCACCCAAGTTGTATGTGTAATAATTTCTAAGTTGTCCTTCAAAATTGGTCAATCACAATTGTGAGCTCACCTTCCTCTCGAGGAACGTTTTGTCCCAGCTGACTACCTTTCCGTCTCAAGTTCGATCTGATGGAACGCCCTCTTGAGTGTCAGCTGAGCCTAAACATATATTTAACCAGCTCCAGTATCGTATTCTTACAGCATGCATTCCCTCCAGAACTAAGAAATCACGCCACTCCCCTTGAAACCCTTTATGTGAGAGATGGATCTTCTATCCATCTCTACCTTAGTGACTAGTAAATGCTAACATTTGGCTATCTACGCTTAGTGTGTTCAGCACGTGTGTTCACCCAATTATCTACTTTTGCCACTAGCCATCATTAATGTTTATATAATCATCACTGCTGTTCTGCTGCCTATATATGTTTCCGTTCTTGTTTAACAACAATTCCCACCATAAGTTAAACATCCCGGGAAACAATGGCCATTCGGTTCTCGGGTCAAGTCTCCGATCTGGTTAGGTGACTCCTTGGGGTGACCCGTCCCGGGCAAAAACCTGCGTTCGGTCAGGTCGGGTCGACCCCACCAAGCCATTTGCTGAACTCATATTCTACCCATGGTAACCTGAGATTGCCTCAAAGCATGATGTTTCCGACCACACTCCTATGTCAACGTATCATGCCTTTCTTCTCTCCCTCCCCATTTTCTGGGTTCATTCTTCGGTGAAGCCTCTGGCATGTATGCATCACCAATGCTTTGAGTGGGACTTAACCAACCATCATCTGACATTTCCATTGCAGTGATGTACGTTGGAACAATCTCAATGGCCAACTCCCTCCAACAATGGGCAATCTTACTCGACTTTCATCCTTGTAAGGCGTGCAGATTAAATTGTTGCAATGTCCATCATTGCTCCTTTAAAGGTATCATGAGGAGGAGGTATACAGGGAGCCAATGTGTTTCTCTCGTGTATTCGAGATAGTACTGTTGCAGCCATAAGTAGGAGGTATACAAGGTACCAAAGGCCGTAGATGACTATCCCGGCTCAATCCGTTTCGGCACGACAACTGATTTTGGGTTTAGACCACGTTAAGCCATTTCCTATTGCCTAATATGCATGGAAAACAATATATGGTTTACTGGGTTTTTTTACGAATAAAACATCTTGGCATAGTATAGCACTGTAATGTCTCACCAAACCTTTCCTATAGAAATTTCAATGAGTTTCATTCAGAGCTGAAACCGGTTTCTGGTTTATTGTTTGAGAACACCCCATGTGCACATGCAGGTACGCAGATTGGACTGCAATAGCTTGCCCTCCTGACTACAACAGCTGTGTGGTCCAACAGACCATTTCAAGTGCTTTCTGCCAGCAGTGTGGCTCCTTCTGCAGGACCTGTGACAAGCCACAACCAGGTGAAGTGCAATCTCTTTATGCGGGTCGCTGCAAGTATTATTGCCTTTCTGACAACGCTCTCATTCGTGCTGAGTGCATGAACACTACACTGCCATCTACAAAGCAAACTTCTGCAGTGTCACGCATCCACAACTTATACTGAAGTACAATACCTCGTGGCCTTTGCTGATTTTTTTTTTTTCAACCTTTCAGAGTCTTCGTTTGCTTTCTCTCCCACATCCCTTTTCATCCAGCCCACCGTTATTCCCACGTGTGATTGCCTTTTCCGTTCACTATATCCATCTTCCTACTCCTTGAATGTACCTCCCATCGCTAGTGCCCACAACCTCCTCCCCACCTCCTCCCTCGCCAACTCTGCAGCATCTGCTACCCTGTCTGAAGGCGGTTTATCCAACGGAGCCATTGCTGGCATTGCTGCTGCTGGTGCTGTGGCTTTCCTAGTGCTGCTGCTGCTTATCTGGCTGATGTGCAAACGATACCACGCCAGAGGCAGAGGGGCAACAGGAGGCACAGATGTGGACGGCAAAGATTTGGTTGAAGGAAGTGCACTCCAAGGTAGGACCTTTTCAGTCTACGCTGTTCGAAATACAACCTCCTCCCAAACCCTAAGTTCCCATCCACATTCAATTCCTCATCTGTTTCTTGTCTCCTTCACCACCTCTGACAGACTTAGAACCTGATCATCTCAACGCAGCATCCAAGGCAGAGAATAGGGACCCAGAAGGAGAAGCAGCTGCTGCAGCAGCTGCGGCTGTGGCTGCAGGAGCAGCGGAATGGGTGAAGGAGAGAGACGTGGTGGTGGAGATGGAGGCAGTGAAGCCACATGTGTGCCAGAAGTTCACTCTGGAAGAGCTCGCAAGCGCAACGGGAGACTGGGCTGAAGGGAGCAAGATTGGCAGTGGCAGCTTTGGAGATGTGTACAAGGGAGCGTCACTGCATGACCCCAATGAGATTTGGGCTGTGAAGCGATCCAGGGTCCTCTCCAGTGACTTCCTTACTGAGGTACCAGACGGTGCTGATGATCCTTCTGGCCTCACACCATGAATCACAATGCAATGCTGTTATTGGACAATCTTTGTATGCCGACACGCACACAAACAGGGACACACACACATTCAGCGACGTCTGCACACGCACACACACAGACAGATGCACACATACATACACACCCACACACACTTGCTCAGACACAGACACACGGTTTCCTCTCGCCCTCTCCCTTGTCATTTTTCCTCTCTCATCTCGTAGGTGAAGAATCTGGCCAGCAAGCACTTGGATTTTGCTGTGATGTTCATTTGGAATCCCCATTAGAATTCTGTTTTTCGCTCATTCAGATATTATTAGTGTACGCATGCATACACACATAATATATACACTCTCTTCCTCTTGCCCTCACAGTTTTCGTTCTCCCTATCTCATCTCGCAGGTGAAGGAGATGGCCAGCAAGCACCACCCCAATCTGGTGCGCCTGTTGGGCTTCTGTGTGAACTACGATTCCAGCACGGGTCAGATTGAGCAGGTGCTCGTGTATGAGTTCATGGCCAACGGGGACTTGGAGAAATGGATTGGACCAGGTAATGTTAATTCATTATGTTTAATATGGATGTTTTACCACACCCTTCGATAGCCAGCTGGTTTCTGTGTGTGACGTGGGTTCAGAAACTGGGAAGGCTCGATTTGCCCATGTTCCGTGCACCTGCTGCGTACCTTGTGCCATGGCTTCCAAATCATTTCTTCAGAATACTATGTCGATTTATTGGGGACAGGCAATCAAATAGCATTCCCACTGGAACCACTTCTTCACATACCCCGTTTTAGGAGCTCCAAGCCATCTCTCCCTATTGCAACGACTGGATGTTCTGATTGGAGTGGCAAAGGGGTTGCATTATCTTCATGACTTTGGCATTGTGCATCGCGACATCAAGCCAGCCAACATTCTGCTTGATGGAAAAATGCATGTACGTCTAACTGTAGTTTCTCCTTGCAAATTGTTTGACCAGTCACCAACCTAACATTCTGTGTTTTCTTTTACTAGCATATCCTGAGACGTGAAAACACTTGGTGCTATTCAATATATCTTTGTTCTACATGCAATTGATCCTGTTGTTCAGGCCAAGATTGCAGACTTTGGGCTGGTGAAACTCACTGGAGGCACCGCTATGGGAACGTCTGTGGCTGCCACTCGAGTGATGGGAACACCGGGCTATGTGGACCCTGCCTACTACAAGTCCCACAAGGCCACTCCAGCAGCAGACGTGTACAGGTGAGAGGGCAGAGGTATTAATTTTGAGTTGAGTATGAAACCATTTATGGCTGCCACTGCAGTGATGGGAACACCGGTGTATGTCGACCCTGCCTTGTACAAGTCCCACTATGCCACTCCAGCAGCAGATGTGAGCAGAGAGATGTATTTTCCTTTTCCGATTATGATGCAGATATGGCATAGAATCCTCTGTTGACATGCCTCACATTAATCTCCATTTTGGTCCCCTGCCCCTTTGATGGTTTGGTGTTGGCAGCTTTGGTGTGGTGATGCTGGTGGTCATCTCGGCACGCAAGGCCGTGCATGTGAGCGAGACCAACCAGATCAGTCTGAAGCAATTGGTGAGCCACAGTTGCTTGATACAGACTTACTGCCTGAATACTTTATGCAATAACTGCCTGAACAACACACAATCCTCCATTCATTAGCATGAGATGCAATGAACAATCAGCCGTATGTCTACATGCATGTATGTGTTCTTTTTAACCATACAGATCGCCCCACTCGTGGAGTCAGATGCCGTGGCAGTGTTCAAGGATCCCTACTTGAACGCACCAGATGACTTGGTGCTGCGCTGGGCTCGCCTTGCCCTCTCCTGCACCGCCATGCCTGCGGCCTCCCGCCCCTCCATGAATCAAGTGCTGGGGGAGCTGGTGAAGTTGAAGCAGGAGGCTCTTGCAGCACATGAGAGCCATGTGGGCGAGGCCAAATCTCGCATTGACATGGAGCTTGGGAGTTCCATTGGCTCCTCCAGCTTCACTGCTGAAATGGCCCGTGCGGAGCGCGAGGGCATGCCAAGTGGCTCTTCCACGTAATCTAGTTTGATCTCACATGCACCTTACTGGTTTACTTAGCACTTCTGGTACCAGTGGAACAATAAGGCCTGCCGTTAGATGTTTTGGAAGGGATGTTGTAGCATTTAATGGAGGTGGTGAAGTTGAAGCAGGTGGCGTTCGGTTTGGAGCACATATGGTATAGCATCTCCTTACCCTGCACTCCTCTCAGACTCCCTATTCCTCTCATACCCCCATTCCGTTGAAACCCCCAAAACCCTCTCCACAATCCTCTCACAGCCCTCTCCTCTCATACCCTGCACCAGCCTTCGAACCCCACAGTTATTTCACACCCCCAAATCCTTCCGTACATACTGATGGAAACCTTTCATACAAACAAGGCACTGCGGACAGCTATAAAATATTTTGTCAAGGAACTGTGCAAGTTATTGTGCAGTGGGATGGAGCTCAGTCCAGGGTGAATCCGATCTTGATTAATACTCTTTGTAGTTTGAACCATAATATTCCCTTGTAGCATGGTTACTAGCTTTGGCTGCAAACACTGGAAAATCATGAACGTGCATCCATCTTATATGATTCAAACAACTTAGCACATGTGATGATGCAGTGCTGGAGGGAAATGAGGGCCAGAGAGAGACGGCGAAGAGAGTCGTAAGTTTAACCTTGCGCCTGCCAGACAGGGGCTTGTAAAGAGGGGGGTATGGCAGGCAAACAGTGCAGGAGTGGGCAGGAAAGAAGGCAGGGGAGCAAAGAATCTGAATGCTTAAAGAGGTAGAGCACACTGCCTGAAAATGCACCTAGCCTCTCATGAGAGCCGATTCAGCATTCAGAGTCCCCTGCTCATTTTCATGAGGGTGCCAATCTTGGCCTTGTGTCTGCAGAATGGGGGCTCTCGCAGAAGTTCTACATCAACAACGTTCTGACCAGGTTCAAGATGCAGGAAGCAGCTTCAATGCCCACCCCACTCTCTCTGCAGCACCAACTCACTGCACCCTCTGTTCCCTCACCTGAGCCCTGCGATGAGGCTTACCCCGAGCTCGTTGGCTCCCTCATGTACGCGATGATGTGCACTCGACCAGACTTGGCCTATCCAGTCAGTGTCCTGTCTCGCTACGTTGCACCTGGTCGCTTCACGAGCCACCACTGGTCTGCCGCCAAGCGGGTCCTCCGCTATCTCAAAGGCACACAGGACTATGTGCTCACTCTTGGCGGCTCTTCCCCTGTTCGCCTTGAGGGGTACAGTGACTCGTCCTATGCTGATGACCAGAGTGATCGGCGCTCTTCCCAAGGGTATTGCTTTACCCTTGGCAGTGGGGTTGTCAGTTGGCGCTCCACTCGGTCGTCTTCCGTCTCACTATCGACCTGTGAGGCAGAGCTGTATGCCGGGACCATGGCTGCCCAGGAGGCCCGTTGGCTCTCCTTCTTGCTGGCAGAACTTGGGTATCCTCAACCAGCCCCAACGCTTTGGTGTGACAACGAGAGCACCATTCACCTCACCAAGGACCCCGTCTTCCACGGCCGCACCAAGCACATTGAAGTCCGTCACTACTTTCTTCGTGAGCTGGTGCAGCGCGAGCAGCTGAAGGCAGAGCACATTGCCTCCGACTGCAACCTTGCTGACTAGTTTACCAAGTCTCTTGTTCGCCAAGACCACTACCGCCTCCTCTCGTCCATGGGTGTTGGACCTCCATGTGGCTGAAGTGTTGTCAGCCTAGGGGGTGTGTTAGAAATAGTCAGTCAACACTTTGTACTATATTCCATATCGGTTAGGATACTTTGTAGGGTTGGGTGTAGATTTGTAATCCCAACCCTAGCTGGTTGGGATTCCCTCGTAATCCTGCAAATCTGCCAACTCACCAATTGGAGATTTGCTAGGATTCCCATCCCATCCCTTCCCTAGGTTTGCTCAACCAAACCGTGTTTGTACTTAAGGCCTCGTGCCTTCCTTATCAATCAATCAGTAAAGTTCCAATTCTATCAACTAGCACCTAGAGCAGCAGCCTTTATACCTGGGTCGGGCAGCACACACAGGTAACAGTCACCCTCAGCACTAACAGTCGATGCATACATGGCAAAAAGGATAACATTAAAGTCAAGAGCAAAGATTTCCACATCCTTCCTAAGCAGATCTGCCCAACGGGGCGTCTCAGCCTCGTCACCAAACTCAGTGCGCCAAACGTCGTCAAGGCGGGAGAAGCAGTGATACTGGGTGTGAAACTTTCCGCATGTCTGACCAGTACGGTCGCCTGTGCGAATGACATACGGGCAGCAAACAGCACCCCCAGACGCTTGAGCAAACCACTCACGAAGCTGCTAGGGCGTAAGGGTCTCGCGCGGTCGCTGCTATTGCTGCCTCTGGCCACCACCAGAGCCTCCCCTCTGAACGGCTCCACCCCGACCGCCACCACTACCGCCACCACCGCTCCCACTGCCGCCACCACCGCCGCTGCCGCCTCCACCGCCACCGCTCCCACTGCCGCCACCTTCGCCACCACCACCCCCACTGCTACCGCTACTGCCGCCGCCGGCGCCTCCACTCCAGCCACCACTCCCACCGCCACCTCTGCCACCTCCACCGCCTCCTCCGCATCCACCACCACCCCCCCCCGCCGCCACCTCCACAACTCTTACCTCCCTTGCCCTTGCCGCTGTGGCGCTTCCCACTAGGAGCAGAAGCAGCGCCGACCTCCTCAGCTTCAAGGAAGTCAACAGCAGCAGCAAAAGCGTAGGAGGGGGCAATAAGGGAGGGGGAACACCCCTAAAAAAAGGGAGTGTGAGGAGTGCCACGAGCAGCACCTACAGCGACTATGTTGGTCTCAGCTGCAAAGAGGTGCTTCTCGAGGTCGGCGACAGTGAGGGCAGTGGGGTCAAGAGCGAGAAAGTGGTCCCTGACCGCACGAAGAGAGTCAGGGAGGCGGGTGATTATGAAGTATAGTTTGATGTACGTTGGGGGCGGGTTCTTGTCTAAGAATTTGGCTGGGAGGGCGGAACGGTAGCGAGCGTCACTAGCGCGAAGGTGGGTGATGAGGTCCTCAACTGTGGCAAAGGAGGACAGCTCGGAGAACAGGTAGGGCATGATAAGGCGGCTGAGAGCAGCAGTGGCAGGGGAAGAGTAGCGATCGACCACATCGTCGTACAGGGCCTTAGCGGTCTTGTGCTGGCCAAAGTGAGCGCGTTCAGCTAACGGCAGGTGGTTGCGAATAACTAGGCGAACAGCAGTGTCACGGATAAGCCACTGTGAGTGAGTGAGACTGTCAGTTGTGTTAGAAGGAGCGACCGAGGAGCCAAACGCGTGGTCAAACAGTGATACGCTGTCTTTAGCATCGGTCATTAGGTACAGCCGCAGGTCATCGAGCCACGTTTCGAACTCGATCGGGTGGCCGTCAGGATCAAACGAGAGTAGGTCGAGAGTAGCCATAGCTGCAGAGCGGGGCTTGATAGGGATGCGCGCAGGCAGGAAAGGCGGCGCACAGGCAGGCAGGGTCGGTGCGCGGCCAGCAGGGCGGAGCGCGGGCTGCAGAGACCGGCGCACAGGCAGGCAGGGGCGGCTTGAGGGCAGGCAGGGGTGGTGCGCGGGCTGCAAGGGCTGCGCGCGGGCCGGCAGGGGCGGAGCGCGGGCAGGCAGGGGCGGCGTGCAGGCTGCAAGTGCAGCGCGCGGGCTGTGCAGGCTGCAGACGGGCGGCGCGCGGGCAGGCAGAGGCTGCGCGGGGGCAGGCATAGGCGGCGCGCGGGCTGCAGACGGGCGGCATGCGGGCCGGCAGGGGCTGCGTGCGGGCTGGCAGGGGCAGCGAGCGGGCTTGCAGGGGCGGCATGCGGGCTGCAAGGGCAGGGTGCGGGCCGCGCGGGCTGCAGACGGGCGGCGCGCGGGCTACACGTGGCGACGCGACGCAGCGCAGGGCAGGGCGTGCGCGAGGCTGCGCAACACAAGGCAGGGCAGAGCAGGGCGTGCGCGGGCGGGGTGACGCAGGGCAGGGCGTGCGGTAGCGCGGTAACCGCAGTCGGTCACTACATAATGGTGGGCCCGGAAAAAAACGGTCACTACGGACCTACTGCTCTGAAACCATATCAAGAACTAACGAGCAGGAATGAATGCATTGAACAGAAATGTGGGTACAAGTACCAACCCTAATGTGGGTTGTACCCTTTATGGGCTACCCCACTACAGCCTACACAGTACATGCATGATAATAGTTCGACATTGTCCTCACTGAGTTCGGAAGAATTCCTCACTAAAAAACCTCTGCTTTGCAAAATCTGCCTCTGGCGAGGTGCATGATGCACGTTCTTCGAGGACCGAACTCGCGTGCATACGAATCTGCAGTGAATTTGAACAGACTGCACCAAATAGCTTGCCTTGATCAATGTACTTTTCTTGAGACCCTGGTAAAAAAGAGAGGTTGAACAGAGTCCCTGGCTGTCGCGAGTCCCAACATGAACACAACTCGGTAACTCTGTGACGTACGCTACCAGCAAACTGAACCAGGTCCAACCCGCCTCAGTAGCCTCTGACCATATGCAGTGGTCTATGCTCACGGGTTTTGGAAGTTCAAAGAGTTCTTTGACGAAAATTCCACCCTGGGTTATTTGGGCACTCAAACAGAAGACAGGGCAACGTCGGTTATCAGAAGACATGGCAATGTTGGTTGCACAAACTCGGTACTTCGTTTCACCATGGTGCAATATGGTAATAATGAGGAAAGTACTACTTCATGGCAAACTTCAAATAAAGGTGTACAATTGAACATACTACGGTCAATGAACTTTGTGGCTTGAACACATTATTTGAACACAATGCCCCATTACGAACGAAAGCAAAAAAAGCATAAGCCAGGGGCGTCTATCAGGGAGAACACTGATCAAACAAACACAGGATTGGTCGAACCCAAGAAGTTAAATACAAGCATTTGGGAAGGAAGGAGGCATGCATAGTTGACAAGCGTTGGTACGATTTCTGGTTTTAGCAGCAAAAGACACAAGCATGCCCATCAAATTGCGTCAGAAGCCTATTTCTGAGCTCAGAAATAAAACATGCGCGTGAGCATGTCTCGAGCCAAACCAGGCAGCTCAGGAACAGGAGGAGGGGGAGGGCGAGGGGCGGCAGGGTCCCTGTCCCGTCCGGCACTGGACTCAGAGGACAGGTTGGTTTCATCATGGTCCAAGTAGTTTCGACAATGGGTTGCCGCCAGGTGCGCATAGAATACAGGCGCAACTGCGACAATGGGATTCAGGGAACGAGTTCACGAACACAGGTATCCAGGGACATCGGGGGAGAAAGGAGGAGGTATACATGTGTGAATTTGTGGTGTAATGTCCTTAATCGTAAGGCACAGGGCATGAGTCGACATTGGATGAAGTAAAGGCATGTGATGTGACGGAGTAACACATATGCTCCTAAAACGCTTCATGAAGGATGACGCGAGCCTGATGCACAAGTTGTGCATTAAGTGATGCATGGCACTCTCAAAACACAATGCTTGAGAGTGGCATGGAGGGAGTACCTGTGGAGATAGCTCGAGTGCACCTCCCGTAACTGTCATTAGGGAAGACATGCATGCGTCAATGAGAATGTTGGAATGGAACAAGATTTGGTGGTTATTGACTAGCACATACATGATACAGAAGTGTGTTTGTAACAATAGAGTGGTAATATATGAACTGGTGATACAGCCAAAGGTCATGACTAAGTACAACATGCCAAGTTTCATATTAAACTCCTGCGTCTGGACTTGAATGTAGCAGACTCGTCAAAATGCAGGATTAACTCAACCTCAGTTTTAGCACTTACACCACGAAATGGATGGCACTAAATAAATAGTAAGCCACCAAGCGAGGCACCAAGAGCTTATTTGTAGCAGAGAGGGTGTGTGAGATACTGGATGTTGTCCAAAGTGAGCCCGTTCTTATCGTGTTGACTCTAGAGTCAACAAATGAACCCGTTCGCAGAGTGCAGAATCAATAGCTACTCATTCTCACTCTCACTCTGACTCACTTGTAACAAAGGGAGTGCGTGAGCTGCTGGACGTGGTCGGCAGTGAGTCCGTTCTCATCATGCAGCACGTGGTAGTGCACGGGCCTGCTGGTGCCCTGTTGGCCAGAACACATAGAAGCTTAGGTTTATGAATGCTGGAAATTGGAGCAACGAATTGGGTTCGTTCTCATAAGGCAGCACATGGTAGTGCACGGGTCAATTGTGCCCTGTGAAGTGCCATGGTGGTGAAAGAAAGGGGTTGAGGGATTGGGAGGGGTGGGCGAGAGTAAGCTGCATGCGCTCCTGAAGGCGTGTGGAGAACAAATCAGGGGTACTGCGTGAGCTAGTGAGCGTACGAACCTTACCAGTCGCATTATGTGCGGTACACACATACTAGAAGGCCATTGTGCAATACCATGAGGAATTCAAAGAAGGACAGGCATTTGTGACATCCTGATCCACAATCGTCCTGGGCAAGGCAAGGCGTATATATGCACTATGCATTTCCACCATAGTATGCCTCCTAACTCCAACACAGCACATACCAGAAGGCCCTTGTATGAGATAAGACACAACACTCACCAGGAGGCCTTTGTGTGAGACCATATAGAAGTCAAAGAAAAAGGGGTGAGTCACATCACGGTCTACAATGGTCCCTGGCTGCACATTGGAGTCGCCCTGGGATGGCAGGAAGCGCACGTTGTTGCGCTTCTGTGCCACGATGTAGGTCACTGAGGGGCGGAAGGAGGGGTTGCCAATCTTCCTGCGGACCCACTCGAATGCCTGCCGGTGGAAAAACGTGGGAAGAGGGCATGGGAAAGGGGGACGGTAAAGGGTGAAGGCGGAAGGGGGAATCGACAAGGTGTTAGGGGCAAGAGGAAGGGGGAAGGGGGAGGTGGAAAGGGAAAATGTTGAAGGGGGAAGGGGAAGGGCGATGAGGAAGCACACGTTGTTTCGTGTCTGCGCCATGATGTAGGTGTTCTTAGGGCAAAACAAGTGTTCACTCTCGTTCGTGCCCATCCACTTGAACGTTTGTGGAAGTGGGGGAAAGAGGGAAGCATGCACATTATTGAAAGGAAAAATGCTGTTGTCATGTGACCTTTGTTGCAGAATTTCTCCACTCTATAAGCCACCCATGCCATTCACAAAACACGCCATCCCAACCCACCATACATGCGATCCACCCCTTATATGCCAAGCCATCCTCTCCTCTACATGCCAAGCCATCTGGCGGTGAGGACAGCTACGACGAGAGAGTTGTTTGTAGAGTTGGATGTCATTAAGGTGGAGGCAAGGGGGGGAGACACGGGGCGAGGTGGACTGATTCCTGGATGAGGGACGACAAAAGGCGGCAGCCCGTGGACTAAAAGTCGAGCAAGAACCTTGATGGCTTTTGGGAGATGGCCCTGGACTACCTTACTTTCCAGTCTCATCAGAAGCTAGCGAGTGTGTGTTCAGTCAGGGCAGGAACATTGTCACATGGTAGTGTGAATAATTGAGCGCTGACCGTGTGCACAAACCATGACAATTAGGTCATATTATGGGCACAAACTGGGCAGAAGCTCTTGGGAGCGGGGACGACGAGCCATATTATGCCATGTTTGTTAGTAAACTATTGGTTAAATTGCTTTATTAGCTATTGATGCTGCCGTCCACATAAATATACGCTACAAAATGTTGAAGCGATAGTATGCATCAGCAGGATACAACCAATTGAGTTTATTCCCCTGTATACAACGGGTACTGATACACGTCCCAATCTTGGGTCGACCCTACTGGTCGTCGGTTCGACCTTGACGCGACCTATAAATATCGCGACGCCTGAGAGGCTCAGGTGGAACCAAGGGTGACCCGACCCGTACTGGGCTCAGGTCCAGCATAGTTGGGTCGCCATGGTTCGACCCATTGCTAATGGCTACCGTCTGCCTACTTGCTTACCTGCATGCAGGAATCAAGTCAGCCATCCACGCGTCTCACCTGGATTTTAAGTTAGGAAGACCTTACTTCCAGCATCAAAGCGCGGATAGGTTTTACCCAAACCACCATCAATTTTCCAGCAGGGTTGTGTACAACGTTTAAAAAAAACAAAAAAAAAATTGAGTGTAGCAGAAAAATCGCAGGCCCCATTAATTCCATCTCCCCCGTGTCTCACCTCCCACGTGTCTCACTTCCCACGTGTCTGACCTCCCATGTGCCTCACCTCCCATGTGCCTCACCTCCCATGTGCCTCACCTCCCATGTGCCTCACCTCCCATGTGCCTCACCTTCCTAGAGGCATCCAGCTCTGCCGCTCCCACAGTCACAAACTGTGACTCACTGATGCCGTCCCTACGGGTAATACAAAGAACCAGAGAACATCCCATGTGCACGAGACACACATGCAAGGGCAGGGAATAGAAGTGATGGAAGAGACGAGAAGAACAGAAAAGAGATAAGGAGGAGGAGAGTGGACTTGTGACAGGTAGGGTTGAAGACCCAACATACATCTGTGAATGAAGAGATAGCACGTAGCAAATCATGCATGTACCCTTGCGCATGTAGCAAGCGGTGTTCACCCTCGCACATAACCATTGTTGTTCATACGTGCATACTCACCTGTACAAAATGATACGTTCTGGGAGCCTGTTGTTGATATCTCTGAAATCCTTCATCAGCTCACTGGACATTGTAGAGACCACAACATACAGAGCATTGAGGCAAGAGAGCAAAGAGGGAGAGAGGAAGGCAAGGAGAGGGCGAGTTGTTGATGCATTCTCAAGAAGAGTCCATACGAAATAAATAACTGAGTATGCTACTTACAAAACAGATCCCATCCCAAGCCTAAGCCACAAAAATGCGCCAACCAACAACAGCATGCTACTCACCAAATACACATGATAAACAATGAAGACTCTCCGTTTATGATAGTCCGGCTCTCATCAGGTGCTTCTTGACACACGCAACTTGAACCTGTCTCACTCACCATCCAAACTCGGGCCTCGCTTCTGTGGTCCTTTTCTCGTGGAGGCACAGGTGACGCCGGTTACATTCCGCTTGCGCTTACCTACTACGTGGAAGCTTCACAGCGCTTTCCATGTAAAGCAACTGAAACCCTACAAGGACCCCAACCAACAGTTCCAGGGACGGCAGCTACCGCCACCACCACCTGTACTCGTACAGGATGAGCCAGAGTACGAAATCGGGCGCGTTCTCACTCATCGGCGCCGCGGCGGCAAGACCCTCGGATTCCTGATACGCTGGAAGGGATATGACCCCACTGAGGACAGTTGGGTGCCAGAAGCTGATATGGGCAATGCACGCCGTGCTCTCAAGGACCATCTTGTCAAGCAGGGTGTAACTCACGCCACCCAGCTTTGAGGGGGGAACGTGTGAGAGTACGACGGCTTATGGTGGTTTTGCTAGCTTGCCTAGACTTTATTATGCTATTTCTAGCTTGGGTTATTTTTTCATGCATAGATATGCTTGATTTCCTAGGTTAGGTGCATTCCTATATTTTGTTACAGTTATAGCACCGAACTAGGTTACTTGTACCAAACTCAAGCCTATTCAGTTTCCACCGAATTGCTTCATACCGAGCTCGGGAAGGTTCTGTTCGGGACGCTTCGCGACCCTCAGAACATTCGCGTAACACCTGGGTTACGTGCCTTGTGTCGAGCCTATATATAGCCTCGCCTTGTACCCAGGTGAATCATTCCATTTAGAACTTCTTTCCTGAACTCGATCCTAGATCCTCACACAGGTTCACCGTTGTCCTGTGGTGTAACGCTGTGCAGCCGACTTGCTGCAGCGTTGGCACACTATGGACTGCAACGTTGGCGAACTGCAACTCTGCAACGCTGGAGCAGAGGGAGCTGCGTTGGATCGCGGTTGACCATGCTGCATTGGAGGTCGACCAGTAGCCTATCTAGCTCTGATGTAGTCTGTGTTGCCTATGTTGTTGCAACCATTATTGTCAATCTTTGCTAGTGAAACTCTTGCAAAATCTTCCCGTGAATGTGCAAGCAGAGAACACATAAGCAAATGACTAAAGAAAGAACGCAGAGATCCCGCTCACATTCGTGCCTTCCCCGTAGTCAAGCTCCCGTTGCTAGAGTTATCTCCGCACCCATAGCCCCACCGCAAAGGCGTCGTTATCTTCGAAGAGCTTTCGCTGCGCTGTATTCACTTATTCTTTCCAATACATCCTAGTTAATCATTCGTGCACGTTATTTCAGAGCAGGTTCATTCGTATGACCGATTGTTTAGGGCCCACCCGTTCCATTCTGCCCATTTTTCCTGCCCGAATCGCTCCCCTAGGTGAACCATTTTTCTTGCCCGAATCGCGCCCATAGGCGAGATGTTTTTCCTGCCCAAATCGTGCCCCTAGGCGAGCCGTTTTTTTCCTGCCCGAATCGAGCCCCTAGGCCAGCCGTTTTTCCTGCTCGAATCCCGCCCCTAGGCGAGCAGCTTTTCCTGCCCAAATCGCGCCCCTAGGTGGGCCGTTTTCCCGTGCGACCTGCAGCACACGCGCTACCCTGTCCTGCAGCCCGCGCACCGCCCTTCCCTGCAATCCGCGCGCTGCCCTGCCCTGCAGCCTGCTTGCTGACCTGCCCTGCAGCCCACGAGCTGCCTTGCACTGCAGCCAGACGAATTTAAGCCGTGCCTTTGGATGTGTTGCGCACATCTCGGGGCGCGTTTCTGAATTGCGACTTGAGGTGAAGTGATTCCCTATTAAGTGTCATTGATAACACTAAAAGTTTTGTTACATGACTAAGAGTGGTAACCGAGCTGGAAACAAGCCGAAGAAGATTCTTTTCAGACTTCCCCTAATGCGCGAATGTGAGCCGGGTCACGTGATAAACGCTGATGATAGTCTTCTGCTCCGTGATAAACAGCCCGACTCTCCTCGCCGCCAAACACGTGATGAGTATCTCCGGGTCCCTGACCCCGATCCCGCCGTCCAGCCTCGGAGTGTAAAGCAGCTCCCTGCTCCAGAGGATAAAACCTTTTGCCGTTGCAACTCTGTTCCCGGATGTGAAACTGTGCAGCAACCGCATTATCTCCAGCCAGATGTCTGCCGGTGGCGGGTATATCTGCGCCTGAAAAGCTAGAATCGGTGTAATGTAAAAATTAACCACTGTTGCCCTTGCTGTGATTGTCAGGTACTTTAGCTGCCACTTGGTCAGCTTCTCCGATACACGATTCCACGCCTTCTCCCAGGTGGGTCGGCCACTGCCGGACGGCGTCACCCACACCCCCAGTAGCCGCTCTGCTTCGTCTGCACCGGCCCATTTGAAGCCGCCAGCTCCGTCGTCAGACGCCCCAATGTTAACCCCCAGAGGTAAGACCACCGATTTCGCCTTGTTTGTCGCCAAACCAGATGCCTTCTCAAACAGATCCAGCACTTCCTCTGCCTGACTAATCTGCTCCCTTCCTTGCAGGACGAGCGTCGTGTCGTCCGCGTAGCCAAGATACCCGAGCCGATGCCCATCCTTTTCAAGACCGAGCCCCCGCCTCTCTACCTCTTGGGCCAACGGTTCCACTGCGCACAGAAACAGGTATGGCGCCAGGGGGCAGCCCTACCGGACCCCCGAAACCACATCCACCCCATCTCCGAGCCAGCCATTAATGAGAAGCTTTGTTGTTGTTCCCTCGTGCAGGCCCTTGACCCAGCCAATAAGCCGCTACGGGAATCCCATCCTCTCCAACACGCTGAAGAGAAACTCCCTCGAGACCGAGTCAAATGCTTTCTGGAAGTCAACCAGAAGCAAGTACCAGTCTTCCCGCCCATTCTTTGCCCCCTCGATGATATCCGCCACCAGCGCGACTGCATCCGACAGCCGACGACCCGGGATGAAGCCGTATTGCTCTGGTGAGATGACCATGTGCAAGACTGACTTCATCCGATCCGCTACCACCCGCGCCAACACTTTGTAGGTGAAATTTAACAGAGTAATAGGTCGGTAGTTGTTGAGCTGCTCCTTATCCCCCTTTTTGTGCAGCAGGATCGTTACAGCCTCCTTCGCTTCAGCCGGCAGGAAGGCGCTGCTCGCAAAACTCTTCGCCATCACCATGAAACTTTCTCCCAACAGGTCCCAGTGTGCCTCAAATAGTTCCTTTGGTAAACCGTCGCTTCCAGGAGATTTATTCCTCGCCATTGCTGCAAAAGCTCTTTTAACCTCCTCTTCTGTCCAGTCTGCAGCCAGTGTTTCAGCCACCCTTTCGTCCAGCCGGCGTACAGGAGTGAAGTTCCACACCGCACCTTCCACGCGGCGGTCAGCTCCGAAGATATTCCTGAAGAAAGCCGACGCCGCATCCAGTATCTCTTTGGAGCCCGTGATCGACCCCACGCCGTCCTTCAACTCCGTGATTTGAGTGCGCACTTTCCGCGCTTGCACCTTCGCCGAGAGATGCTTCGAGGCGATCTCCCCCGTCATCTCCGCCGTGGATCCCGCCTGAATGTGCAGCCGTTCCTTCTTAGCTGCCTGATACATTTTCAGCTGACCCTCCTTCAGCTTCAGCAGCTCCCTTGTTCTGGTGCAGAGGGGATCCCCCATCAGCCTCTGCGACAAGATCGCCACCGTGTTGGTCAGGTGAGCCACCGTCGCTCTGACCCTCTTGCTTTCCTCCCGTGCATAGGCCCTGAGTCCTGCACTTAACCTCGCCACCAGCAGCTCGAAACTGCTCCCATCGTTGACCGGAGTCCTTCGCACCGTCGCTTCAATGATTTTCCTCACCCCCGGCCTGTTCACCATTGAAGCATGTAAACGCCACAGCCCTGGCCCCGTGCAGACTTTCTCATTCAACCGGAAAGCAGTTAGCACCGCAAAGCCATGATCTGCTACCGGCTCATCAGGCTTGACATGTGCTGCGACCGTCAGGTAGGGAAGAAGAGATTGTGAGACCAAGGCTCGGTCGATCCGCGTACTGACACGTTTTCACTTTGAGAAAAAGGTATACTCTCTGCAGCCTGGATGAAGGATTCAAAAAGCGTCAGAGAGCTGGAAAGCCTTGCATCTCTGGAACAGCCTCTCGTTCTCATTTGATACGCCTTTCCCTGATGATTTGTCTAACTTTGGGTTTTCTAGAAGGTTGAGGTCTCCTATTATCAGCAGGTGGTCTGTAGGCGGGATCTGATCTACCAATGGTCCAAGGGAGTCTCGGAGGAATTGCGCTCTAGACTGCGGGCTGGCGGGAAAATACACCGCGAGCAGTGTGAGATCTGGACCGAGGCCCCTGACCGAGGTCTTAACTATTCTACCGGACGGGTGTGCTAGCGTGTCATGGAAGATGATGGAGGGGTTACTACTGAGAATGGCTACTCCACCCGCTCTCGACCTAGGTGAAGTCGCCAGAACTGTGTGAGTTGAGAGGGATTTCCAGTATGAGTGGTCTGCAACTATTCTAGTGTCTACTAAAACAGCTATGTCTCCTGCTTGTTTGAGCCAGTTGTTAACCCGACATTGCTTTGCTGCGTCTGAGAGGCCGTTGACATTGAGACTGGAAAGGGTGAGGTGGTTTTTCTTAATCATGGTTCCACTGTCTTGCAGCCCCTTATCATCCACAGGCTGATAAATGATACAACACATGCAACGCTGACGCCCATACTCCATGTCGCAGCCATCGCCAGCTGCCGGACGGTAACCTCTACACTCCGTACTCCTTCCGAATGATGCTGAGAGACATGTTCTCGAGGGACTGCTTGGTGGCTGAGCCAAGCTTCTCCAGATGAAGCATGTGAGCAGCCGTTGCGATGTGGTCTGATGCAGTCATGAAACTCTTGCCGTGAGTCTTTCCGCAGCCTGCCTGTGTGCACAGCCATTCCTCCCTGTTGCAGCCGGTCGAGATCAAGGCAATAGCGGGATCGCGGAGCAGAGGCAGAACAAGCTCTGTGGCTTTCAAGGGTGCAGCTGCAAGTATCAAGCGAGAGGTTAGTAAATGAGGAGAGAGGTAAAGTATGATAATAGGCTGGCGGAATCTGAAGGTTGAAGTTGACTGTATGCTGCACGCGTCCATTACCGTTAAGCCTGTGTGCCTTTCCCAAAGACATTTTCCATTTCCCAACGTTACCCTGACGCTCAGTGGTGAAAGCATTATGGAACTTAGCATAATGCTGACCCCCGCAGAGCGAGCAGGAAAGCGAGGGGTAGTGGACGAGCAGCTTCTTCGCACGATCAGCCGGGTCAGGGATCACATGGATCCAGCGGTGCAGGTCAGCAGGATGAGCGTACACCAATCCCTTTACGGCATCTGTGTCACACCGGTTACAGGATGCTGCACGCGATGAAGACAGGTGCAACGCAGAAAGGCAGACTTTCCGCGGCTTTCAATCGGGTAAACAGCAAGCCGGTTGTGGATCGCGACCAGCTCCACTTCAGCAGAGACGCCTTTGACAACCACTGCAATGGCCTGCGGGTTCAGGGCCTTCTCCCGCGCGAAAGTAGGGTCGACGGTATGGAGCCAATGTAACTTGAACAGCTTTCCGTTAAGTGCCTGATGCACCACTTCTTTCCTCCGCACGACCTCCGCATCAGATGCATGCAGGAAAGAAGCTTGGAGGCGATAATACCGCTGCTTCGCGATGTAACCAGTCGGAAGCTCTTGAAATTTCACATCTGTCAGCACTTCTTCTGAAAGTTCTGTGCACCAACCACGTTTCATCAGCATTGTTAAAGCATCCAACACGCAGGCAATCTCTTGGTGCAGAAGAAACGGGATGAGCAAAACTGCAGTGGAGCGCAACGTCGCAGTAGCTTCTGAGCTCATATCCAGCTCCAGCTCATCGTCAGAACCTTCGTCAATGAAGCCATCCTCATCCGTGAGTAGCTCTGCCGCCGTCTGACTGCCTGATGCAGCAAACACGCCATTAGCTGACGTAGAGATGTTGCTTGTTGATGCCTGGTTGGCGACTGAAGCTTGGTTAAGGCCATTGTCCGTCTGATGCTGATCCCCTGCAGGCGGAGCCGGAGCATTGGTGCTGTGATTGACCAGCACGTCAGCAGCAGGCCTGGAACGCAGGCCCTTAGGCAGAGATGGGTTGTCAGCCGGATGCGACATCGTGCGATGATGAAATAAAGCATGCAGTCCAGCGAGGTGGAGAACACCAATGAAGGTTGTAAAGCTGAGAGCTGCCTGATGTCTGAGCACGGCATTGTTAAATAGTCTTCTGAACTTGTCAGGCTCCAGGGAGTGGAACCGCGCTAGGTGAAACATAGGTGGTCCTCCCTTGGTAATGTCATTCTTAATAAGTGGTAGATGATCAGTGTAGCATATTCCTGTTGTTAATAAGACTGCATGGTTAGAAACTCGCAGAGACCATTGATCCAGGAATGTAAAGCGAACCCCGAGATTTGCTGCCTGAAGGCCGGTAACACCAAGGTCAGCATAAATGACTGGTTGTCCGTTAAAGTCAGAGGCGAAGCGGTGTTTAACTTCGGAAGAACGCGAAGTGCATCCTAGCAACGGAACTGGTTGAAGCGAGCTCGGCAGAATCCATGGCCGCCGTAAGGCAGCAAAGGCGGAGAGCATCATCCCGGAGGATCGGATGCCGTGGATGGTGATGATGCGGTCGAAGAAGAGGTGAGCAGTTGCTTCAGCCGTATGAGGTGACCCATTTTGGAGAACTTATCGATAGCTACGAGGATGGAATCATGTCCTCGTGAGGTCGAAGGAAGTCCTGTGATGAATTCTAAGCTAACGACCTGTCCTGGCTGCTCCGGTACGGGTAGAGGCTGAAGTAACCCTGCTTTTTTCTACTTGCTACTCTTCATCCGCTGGCACGTGTCGCAAGAGGTGACAAACTGCTGCACGTCTGCTGCCATCCGGGGCCAGTAGTAATGCTTTGCTATTCCTGCTAACGTCTTGTTGCTCCTAAAATGTCCCGCGTATGGTACGTCGTGAAACTCCTCCAAAAGGATCTGCCGTAGCAGGGCGTAATTCGGTACCCAAATCTTTCCTGAACCCTTCCTTACCGCTTAGTCTTTCTCCCACTGTAACAGCTTCTGTTTCTTTGCCGTTGATATCTCTGCTCCACAGAGTACCCATGTTGGAATAGACCCTTGAGTAGAGGGTTCATCCCGTCGAGCTGGATGCCTGTTACATGACCGGGGCGAATGAGCGCGTCAGCTTTGTTGTGTAGCCCGGGCTTGTAGACGATTGTCAAGTTTAGAGAGGAAAGATGATGCACTAGGAAAGGGCATGGGGTACAAAAGTGACGAGAGAAATATTGTACCCCCTAAGAAACACCCCTACACAACCTAGAACTATATTATATGAATCATATAATTTGACACACCCCCATAGGTGAAGTAGGGGGATAGCCAAACCTAACAAGGGTCACAAGACCAGTCAAACAGAAAAGCAAACAAGACAAAGCTCAAGGTGGATCTCAAGGACACCACACAGTCTGAGCACAAGCAGAAAGCCACAAGGCCAGTTCACATGCAGGTGTATACCACAGCAAGAGATACAGTGATCACATCCTAGCAAAAGTAAACATGCAGGCATATATATATATAGTGATCACAGTACAAGCAGGGTCAAGAAGTAAGCAAGTGAGGTCCAGTAGGCACAAGGCCTAGCAGAGTGCAAAAGCGCTGATGGTCAACAGGCGGAAGCGCCTTGGTGAACACATCAGCAGTGTTGGCCTCAGTGGCCACGTAACGCAGACAAAGCTGACCACGCTGCTGCAGCTCTCGAGCAAGGAAGTACCGCAGAGCGATGTGCTTCGTTCTGTGCTCCAGTCTGTGCTCCTCACACAAGGCAATGGCAGCCTTGTTGTCGACGTACAGCACTGGAGGAGAACGAGGCCGCTCTCCAAGGTCGGTCAGCAGGTAGGTCAGCCAGCGTAGCTCCTGGGCAGCCATAGCTGTGGAGTAGATCTCAGCCTCACAACTGGAGCTGAGAACAGAAGAAGAACGTGTAGAACGCCAGGAAACTGAACCTGAGCCAAGGCTGAAGGTGTAACCCTGTGACGACCACTGAGTAGCCTGGTCGTCTGCCCAAGAAGCGTCTGAGTGCCCTGTGAGAACAGGCCGGTCTCGCCCTCCAAGCACTAGCCCCATGCCCGACGTACTGCACAAGTAGCGCAACACCCTCTTAGCTGCATCCATGTGCTCCTTCCGGTGACGGCCGGGAGCGACATAGCGTGCTAAGATGCTGAGAGGGTATGCAAGGTCAGGTCGAGTGCAGGTCATCAGGTACATGAGGCAACCCACAAGCTCCGGATACGGGCCACTCAGCTCTACGGACTCATCCGAAGGCAGAGCTGAGAGCGAGTGTCCCGTAGGCAGAGGAGTGGGCTAAGGCGAGGAGTACGTGAAGCGGAAGCGCTGAAGGACCTGCTGCACCATGTGTGACTGAGTCAAGGTGATGGTGCGGCGTGCTCTGTCCCGGGTGATCCGCAAGCCAAGATAGCTTGTCAGTTCACCCAGGTCTGTGCACGTGTGTCTCTTCTGCAGCTCCGACTTCACGTGGGCGAGACCAGCTCTGTCAGCAGTGGCAAAGACCAAGTCGTCGACGTACACGAGGATGTAGAACGGCGGCAGCAAGGTGTCGGTGCGTAGAAACAGCGACGGGTCAGCAGTAGAGGGAGCGAACCCAAGAGCCGCAAGTGTCGTCCTCAGTGTGTCGTGCCACTCACGCGGTGCCTGGCGGAGACCGTAGACCGGCCGCTGAAGCCTCCACTGGGTGCCAGGGGGAACCGACCCAGTGAAGCCAGGAGGGCGGCGCAGCCAGATCTCCTCGTGCAGGCTGCCCTGCAAGAAAGCAGTGCTGAAGTCAAGAGAGTGAAGCTCGTAGTCGCGCTGAGCGGCTATGTGCAACAGCACCCGAAGAGTAGTCATCTTCGGGGTGGGGGAGAAGGTCTGAAAGAAGTCAACTCCCGCTCGCTCACTGAAGCCTCTAGCCACGTAGCGCGCCTTGAAGACAGGCGGAGAACCTGGCGGCCGCTTCACCCTGAAAATCCACATGCCACTGACGATGTTCGCCCCAGGAGGGGGAACCTCGTCGACGTAAGTACCAGTGGACTTCCAGGAAGCCATCTCTGCGTCCATGGCTGTCTGCCACTGAGAGGAGTAGGGACCCGCCATCGCCTCAGCGTAAGAGCGCGGGGTTGGGATGTCTGGTGCATCCGGGTCTCCCTCAGGGGCAACAAGCATGGACACGAGATGAGGCACAGCAGCAGCAAAACAGTGAAACTCCTCGTGTATGTCCTCAAGGACGTCCGTGCTAAGAGCACACTCACCCCCGACGGACGGAGGACAAGCAGACTCAGACTCAGACTTAGCAACTAGGCTAGCAGCGTAGTCCAGGCGACAGCGAGCAGCAAAATCAACCAGCTCAGCGACCAGAGCAGACGCAGCGGCGGACTCAAAAGACGGGTCAGTGACGACAGTAGCGAGAAAACGCGTGACAATGGGACTGGCAGCACGACGGGAGTCAAACTCCGGGTCAGGAAGAGTAGGCAGAGAAGACTCAGGAGGAGACGGCAGCGAGACACGCTGCGGAGCAGTGGAGGGACGCAGAGTCATGTAGTGAGTGCCCGGGACAGGAGGAGGACGCTCACGCGGAGCACGACGACCAGTGCGCGCAGTACGGACAGGCGACACTGGACGCGACTCAGGCGCACGACGCTCTGTAAGGCCTCCCGTGGGACCAGTGTAGGGAGAGGGACCAGGGAGAGGCGAGGCGGGCGGTAACTGTGACTGCGACTGGACTGGCGTGGTACCAAGAACCTGCTGAAGGAGCGGGACAAAGTACGGTCGCGGCCGCGCAGCGCCTCCAGAACCAGTAGAGACAGCAGTGGCGGGGTCCTCAGCACCAGCGACAACGCCAACGTCCGGGTCCGCAGCACCAGCAGCAGCTCCAACGCCCGGGTCCTCAGTACCAGCGACAACGCCAACGTCCGGGTCCTCAGCACCAGCGACAACGCCAACGTCCGGGTCCGCAGCACCAGCAGCAGCTCCAACGCCCAGGTCCTCAGCACCAGCGACAACGCCAACGTCCGGGTCCTCAGCACCTGCGACAACGCCAACGTCCGGGTCCGCAGCACCACCAGCAGCTCCAACGCCCGGGTCCTCAGCACCAGCGACAACGCCAATGTCCGGGTCCTCAGCACCAGCGACAACGCCCACGTCCGGGTCCGCAGCACCAGCAGCAGCGCCAACGCCCAGGTCCTCAGCACCAGGAGCACCACTCCGGAGACTGCAGCGCCTCGCGTACCACTCTCGGATCTGCTGAATGGGGGGGAGCTCCTGGGCAGGAGGGGAAGTACTGGTACGAGCTCCAGAAGCTCCGCTCCTGAGGCGGCAGTACTGTAGGTACCGCTCCTGCAGCTGCTGGGAGGAGAGAGCTCCTCCAGACGTAGTGCGCTCAGGCTCAGCACCCCCAGACGCAGCACCCCCAGGCTCAGTACCCCCTAGCTCCGCACCCCCAGGCTCGGGACTGTCAGGCTCCGCACTCTCAGGCTCAGCACCTCTGGCAGGGCGGGACTCGACAGCTACCTCAACAGGGTCAACCGGGTCTACCTGGGACACACCTGAGGGAGCGGCACCCTGAGGGGGGAGGGGGTCTACCACAGCAGCACCTGGTGCAAGGAAGAGAGGCGGGGGAGGGAGCGGGGCAGTGCGGTAGGGGAAGAGGCGGTAGAAGGGGACGGACTCGTCAAAAGTGACGTCCTGAGTGGCCAGAACCCGGCGCGAGGCGACGTGGTAAAACTGCCAGCCAGGCGCATCAGGTACAAAGCCAAGAAAGACACAGGGAATAGCGCGACGCGAGAGCTTGTCCGCGGACGTGTCGCGGACAAAAGCTCGGGATCCCCACACCCGGAAACGCGACGCATCGCCAACCTCTCCCGTCCACCGCAGAGTCGGGGAAGTCTTCGGGGTGAAGGAGAAGGTCTGAAAGTAGTAAACTCCCTGCCGCTGGCTGAAACCACGAGCCACGTAACGCTCCTCGAAGACAGGTGGAGAAACCGGCGGCCGCTTCACCCTGAAGATCCACATGCCACTGACGATGTTCGCTCCATGAGGGGGGACACCGTCAACGTAGGTGCCTGT